AACTTCGGGCCTACTGCAGACAATTTGGGATTTTCGGGCAAAACTTTGGGCTCTGTTGGACAAATTTGTAATTTTTAGGCCGAATTTTTGACATTTTCTGGCGCGACGGTGTATTGTCGGCAGTTATTCCAAAGTTTTAGTACAGCTTTTAACCCAAAAATTTCAACGTACGCCTAAAGTAATTCCCGACTGGATGCCTTCTGTTTCCATACCGATTCTTCTAACATGCCTTCCTATTTTCCTTAACCTTCATGCTCTCAATCTACCCCGTTGTCATCCTCACTTTCTTTTCATAAAGGACGCTTTATTACCTCTTTCATGTACACACCACGGGACATTGTGGTGTATACATTCGACGTGAGTACTCTTATCCAGTGTTCTGCCTTGGCCACATCCCTCTTGTAAAATGTCATCTTCAAAATCATCCAGCATGGTCTTATCTACCTTCCTTTAAACTATTTTTTACGACAAGGCTTTTGACACGTTTCATGTCCCAGTTTTCCACTACTTCCTAGCGGTGGTTCGTTTCTTGCTGAACCACCGTACTGCTTTAGTCCGTACATTCATTACCCAAGATATTTTTTTTAGTTTGTGCGTGCTTATGTTAAGGTTTTGATCAAGGTTGTTGGTCAAAAGAAATGGATTGAGCGCTTAATTTCGGAATGTAGGCCAAGCTTTAAACCACCGTCTACCGCCACTTTTTTTTCTAAATATCCTCTGTCTCGTGATTATTCAGCCGACTCATTCCGAGGCAATTATGTACATCGTGGAAGTAAACGCCCCAAGCCAACTGTGCACTCGCAACAAAGAACCCTAGGGGTCTTACCATTCTACATCTCTAAAGTTCCCATGACTGCGTCTCGTCAAACCGGTGGTATTCCTGTCACACTGTCACAGACTAGGAGGAAGCCCCATATAGATTCCCGCTGCAGTAAAGGGAGAAAAATAAGCTGCAAGCGAACTAATCAACGAGTTAGTTATAGTACTATCATCTGTTATCATGTACTAAAACTTTGAAAACAGGGTACAACGATATGCACAGTACCGATAACTCTAGGCTAAGCATGGTAATAGTTACGAGGTCGGACGATACGTTAACTTGTAACACTTAAGAAATGAGTTCTCTGCTACTAAGGCAAAAGTTCCTCTACAATATTACGAATGCATAAAAAGGCATCCATGTGATTGGTTTTGGTATGCTTGTCCCTTTTGTTGAAAAATACCTTGTTTAACTTATGGTAATCTCAAGGATGTGTTCCCTAACGGGATTTTGACACTTCACAGTAGTCGAAGTCAGACAAGAGCAAATACGGAGCTCTTAGTGACGCATGTGTGTCGTAGGGTCTCGGAATCCTGTTGCCAGTATTTGTCCTAGAATAAATCTGAAAAACGCAGATTTAAGTCCCATGCAAATATTGCTAAAACGTCATTAGCGGAACGCGGAGCGAAAAGACTCGCGCTAAAGGATCTAAGAATGGGACCAAAATTCAGGTGAAAAGTCAGACTAAGCACCTGTAAGAGACATAAGGGACAGAGGTACTGTCTTGTTGAATATTTGTGTGTTCAGTGGCTTTCTGCTAGATAAGGAAAGATCACGAAACTGTGGAAGAATGATTGACAACCAGTGGAATATCACATATTTCTGCAAAACTTTGTCCGTTATCACGTCAGTCTAATGTCTCGGGGTAGACCACTACGAGGTGAAGTGTCAACACAGACAGACATACACAGTCAACATAGTATGAGGCATTACTGCATAGCTGTCCATTTTACCGCAACTCTATATCAGAACATCAAGCGAGCAAGCACTAGGATGAAAGATAGATTAATTGAGAACAAAGCACTCAAAAGTAATAGAAAGTCGTGATAAGATAACAAGGATGACCAAGAAAAAACAGAATTCAGTATGACGATTAAGACGATGACAATGTGTGGGTACCTCTGCACCACAGATCGGTTCCGAGCTATATCACCTGGATTCTCAGCCACTGGTTTCTGTTGTCACGCGGACCTCAACCGTGAAGTCTACATTTCCCCCACACGACTGAGACCAGTAGTTAGACTTCATTCAATAATGTCGTGTTTTAGTTTAGCTGTCTCTAACCTATTCTTCAGCCTAAACCTACTCCAGCTGACATAGTGTGTCAAGACAAGTGGTGACTAGACATGCGTTACGCATGTCTTAGCCACCCTACTTGAAGGTACACAAGCATTTTGACCGATTCACCTTCATTACCTAGTATCCTTCGCCCAACCTTGACATTGTTAAAATGCTGATCCCACCTTACATGAGAAATGCTACCAAGATACCCATAGTCTAAGACCTGTGACCGTTTCATATCTTCTACTTTTAACGGCCACTTCTCAACCATTTGATATAACAAAACAAGCCACAGAGCATTATACTTGTCCTTTGTTAAATAGTCAAATATCTCACCAGTCGATGATGTAGGAAAATACCAAACTGACGATCTAAGATTTCGTCAGCAACCAGCCCGTCCGTGCTGATGCAACTCCTCAAGTAAGTGAAGTGGTCGACATATTCCACCACCACTCCCTAGCATTAAGCTGGAAGTCGTTGCAGACCAGTGCTGGAACATCATCTTACATTTAACTGATGCGAAACGCATGCCAAATATATTCAGATTTCTAGTCAGTATGTTCAGAAGACGTTGAGTTTTGTCAGCGTCTTAACCTAGCAGAACAATATCTCCTGCGCGCTTTATGTGAACCAAATACCCTCCAGGGAAAAGATCGGTTACTGTCAAGTCAGAGGTACCCAAGACTGCGTCTTATTTTACATCCACAGGGACGTTGAGCAGGAACGGTGACAGCGCACATCCCCGGCGGACATCACTAGTTGTCGTCAGTGGAATATGGTGGGTAATATTCTTGAGCAATGACTCAAAACAGCTTCACGATGAGCTTCCACAATTGAAATCTTGAACTGCAAAAAACGGTCTAAACTTTGTTTTAGGGAAGTGAGAAGTAGCCTTTGAACTTTCAGCTTGTTCATCACACTAGGCATCATCATAAAATATAAAGAAGTGATTGCAAAGTTAAACTGTTACACACTTCATTTGGAGGTAACTTGGGGCTGTCACTCCTGAACTCTTCCTCACAGTTTTCAGAACATTCCTTAGACCATATCTTGAGGTTCTTAACGTAGTATCTTCTCCACTGCCTAAGCGAAACTTGACATTCCTGAAGAAGGTGCAATAGAGAGCAAGGGAATGTGTCGTAGTTCTAGCGGGTAAATCTTATTTTGAGCTCCTCCGACAACTTAATCTATTTACCCTAAGGTATCATAGGAAAAAAGGTATCCTAAAAACGGTCTAGTGGATTGTTCATCAGGTGTACTATTTTAACTACCGACCCAGAATAAACGGTCGTCTAGTACCTCAGCAAAAGTAGCACTCAGAAAAGCTAACACCAGTGTAGAGCCAAAAGCTTTTGACCAAGAGTATGCATCCTGTATGACGCCTTACCACGTCATTAAGACAAGCTCAGGTCTACCAGGCTAGTATGGCATTTAAAAGTCACCATTTTTACGGTAAACATGTGACCAGATGGGAGGTGTATGACTTTGTCCTTTTTCGAGCCTTGTGTTATTTGGCCTTATATTGAGCTTTTTGTTTTCCATAATTGATATCACCTCTAGTCCCTTTGTCTCATGCTTAGCCCAGTCTTTTTCTTCTGCCTCACGCTTTACCTAACGTTTATTCTCTCTTCCAACCTTGTCTTACTTACTCAGTCAACATTTAAGATGAACTGTTGCTTTATTCTAAGATCTTATTAACTCTACAAACCTACATGTGTAAGTCAGATGCAAAGTTATAGGTGAAAGATGTAAGTCAGTTAATAAGATTGTTGACATTCGACTTAGATTACTGGGATATTGCATATGCGTAGTTGCCGCCTACTCCTCAAGCAGTGTTAGATCAAGTAGGTTCAGGGTGAAAAAAGATTGTGGGTGGTCAAACTAATACATGGCGTCAGTCCATAAAATTTCTAACTATTGGTTGGAGCCGTGTTGGAAAATGTTGAGTTCCCGATTGTGGTCTACGTGACAACGGAAATTGATGTTTGGAGACTAGGTGGTACGGTTAAGTATCGATCGCATCGATGCAGATGTATTCACACATAACCGTCATCTGAATCGTTATATTGAACTAACGACTTTATTTAACCTTTTAATTTCTCTGTTTCATCTTAATGCCTTCTGCCATACTGTGGTGATATTAGGTGTAATAACTTAGACCGTTACGCAGTAACACTAAGTCCCATTTTGATGCCAACTGTTTGTAACTGAGTTGCTCATCCTACGGCACTTGTTCAAACCACATAGACAGTATGCATACTATGGAAGATTTTGATGAATTTATCCGTGTGTACAACACTTTAGTAAGAAAATTATCACGGTATTTGTGTGTTTATTTGTAACATCTTTCTCTTCGAGTGGAAATACTAGAAATCAAATTTATTGTTGTGATTGATCAACAAAATAGACACTAAGCGGTAAATAGCATTATTAAGTTTTAAATAACTAATGATACACGTTGCACAAGTGGTGTCTGTCATGCGCCAGTGTCTTAGTGGACAACGCTTTGACATTTGAGGTGGTCGGTGCTGGGTTCGAGTCTCAGTGGGAACAACCACTCACTGGGGTGCAGGTACATCCAGCTGACCAGCCCAAATAGGACGAAACGTGCATTCCGAATTTCACTGCTAGTCACCAAGATGAATGCAAAATAGCATTATGATTTACGTTCTGTTACTGATCAGTTACTTGTTAGAAACTGCTTTGGTTCACATTCATTTGTAATTAATGAAGGTAGCTAGTTTATTTTTAAGAAAAAAATCATATTACCCCTGACTTAACTAGATCCCGTTAATTTGTTAACTAATGGTTCATTTTGATAAATATTTGAATTTATTTATTCTCGTTATTCAGTCAGGTACATTAATATCTTTGGAGCTGAAATAATCACTAAATCAATATGGAGGAGCCATCTGACGTTCCACTGGAAGGTGAGTATTAAATTCTCTTAACATTGATATACTCTAGGTTCATTTTTACGCCATTTTTCTGTTCCTTATGAAGAAGTAAAGGGCAAACTTCATCCAGAAGTAACAACGGCGATAGTAAGTAAATAGGTATTTTCATTTTATCTCGACTCTAGCACCCTTACATAGGATGGTATAAATCTACTGCTGATCGTAAATTATTTCCTTTTCTAAATGAAAAAAATGTAGGTCAACTAGTTGACATACTCACTAATTACTGGTTTATTTCAGCCTCTTGAGCCAAAGTTCGAAGCAGAGAATGCTATTTTATATAAAATGATGTCAAATTATGAGGTGATCACTTCATTTTTTTAATTTTTCCTAATATTTATCTTATAAATAAATGTAGGATGTATTTTATTGTCGTCGCACTCCTGACAATGAATCCATTCGCCTGTTGTACTGTTCTCATGCATTGAATCATTCACTTAAGTGAGTTTTAGACTTGTTTGAAAAAAAAATAAACTATTAACATAGATGCAGAAAGCTTGTTTTAAAGAATAATGAGAAAGAAAAACAATCGGGTGTTTCTGAGTAAGTTGCTTCTTAGTGCATGTCTTTCTTAAAAACAATTACTGACACGTAGATTGTACTGTCATAGCTTATGAGTTTCATGGTTATGTTTACTCATTATGCACGTGTATACAAGCTTTGATCTACTCAGTCATTAGCAACATTATTTCAGTGATTATCATTATACAAGCTTACATTGATTAGTCACTGGTGAGCAACTAATTTCATGTTGTCTAGTCTGAGTGCTAACCGAATTCTACCGACCATTTTGCAATGTAAATGTTGGATGGAGGCGATCGGCAGGAAGCCTTGGACTCACGTTTCGTGCTTGACGAGGCTTGTCAACAAGGCGTATCTGCAACCTCTACGGAACTGATGTCACGCCTGAGATTCGAGCCCTCCTCACCACTGAGTAGGGAATCGTGTTCGAATCTCAGGTGAGACATCAGTTTCGTGCAGTGCCAACGACGATGAAACTTAGGTCCAGAACTTTCTACCGATTGCCTCCAACCAGGTAACATTATATGTGCTTACTTATTAACTATTTGACATGTAGGATATGTAGTTTATTTTCCTGAACCAGTCTGTAGGAGGTGGAAATCATACGTGGTGAAACCTTGAAATAACATTGTAATTACATGCAAATACCTAGTCTTTTATAGCCTTACTAGCTGTAATAGTATTCCTATCATTGATATGGTGGGTGATAATGGAATATAAAGCGGGTGGTGATCATTGAAAATTTAGTTTGATATATACCTTCGGTTATTAGCGTTTTAATTAACACTCATCATGTTTGATACTCTTTAAGTAGCATCATTGCAAATAATCTACTTTGTAGTATTCCGTAGTAGATAGTCTGCCAAGCTTTCTTCGGTATGTCGTATAATGTTTAGACTACATTTAGCTGAATTCGCTGTCGTGTACAAGCTAGTCAAGAATTTTTAGTGTAACTTCTTAATTATCAGTTGCGCATGAAATTCTCCTTTCAGCACTCTTCGTGATCAAGGATTTCATCGAGCACGTACTCTCATTTTGGCACCAACCAAAGAGGCAGCCAGACGAATTGTACATACGTTTCTACATCTCATGCCTCAAGGTTCTACTGTTAGTCATCGACGCCGATTTGAACGAGATTTCGGTCCACAACCTGGTGATACAGATAAAGAAAAGAAAAAAGGTAGAAAGCCAAAAGATTACGAGGATTGGTTCAGTGGTAAGTCTACTTACTTGCATCCACTTTCTGAAATAAACAGCAGCACCAAGTATTGAATACTGAAATTGACAACTGACAGACAGATGAAATCAATTTGGAACCTCGCGCAGAAGTGCATCGGTCCGAGTTGCCACACTTCACAGCAGTACACAAGGAACAGGTGGCTAAAATAAAAGTGACACCAAAGTAGACAGAATTATGCAAGAGAATAGATGCTGAAAAGATAAAGGTTAGTTAGGATTACTCAAGCTTTAGAAGATGTCAAGGAGTGAATACATCTGCGCCATTGTCACCGATTTCCATCCATGTCATCAACAGTCCTCAACCACTGATTTCCGTCCTCTCAGGGACTCCAACCAGGTAGTCTACATCTTCCCACAAGGCTCAGACCAACAGTCAGAGAACTCATCTAAGGGTGCCACTTCAAAGTCTAACCACTCTAAACCCTCTTCAAACCTAATCCAACTTCCCCTAGCATGGTACGTCGAGGTAATTGGTGGTTCGATATGTGCAGTATGTTTCCCAGCCATCTCAGTCAACTAAGGTTCACAATTTCACCAACCAAATTGCCTGCCCTGCGTAGTACCCTTCGTGCGACCTCAACATTGCTCTCATGGTGTTTCCACCAAACGCGAGGAATGCTACGAAGACATCTTTAACCAAAACCTAGTAGTGGCTTCGTGTCTTCTACTTTCAACGGCCATATCTCACAGCCATACAACAGGACAGAACGGAATGCAGAATAGCATACTCGTCCTTTGATAGAAAGTTGGATATCTTGCCAGCTTCACAGGTAACGCGGGATGGCAAGTGCGAAACGGACTTTCTGTATCCAAGCTGAGATTTTGTCAGCAACAATCTCGTTTTTACTGATCCAGGTACCCAAGTGAGTGAAGTGATCGACGCATTCCACCACTTCACTCCCAATCTTTAACTTGGGAGTCCTTGCAACAGACCAGTCCTGTAGCATCATCTTACATTTAACAGGTGCGAGACATGCCAAATATGCTCGGATTTCTTAAAGCCTCTTAGCAGGTATAAGATTGAGGACTGTCTTATGAAATGTTGAAGATTTCATTCAATTTAATCAACTACCTAGTTTTTCCTCATATTTGTGGTTGTTTTGGTTGGTTTCACACCATCATAAGAACTAAATTCAAATATAGGTGTAGATTTTTTGAACTCTCGATTTGACTGTTTAGTGTTAGCAGCATCTTTCCTACTACCTTTGCATGTAGATAATTCCAAGAATTATGATAGGAAGACAGGTTGCATTTTAAGATATTAGTAGTTAGGGACTTGTTGTAAGGGCTTAAACAAGAATTTGGAAACAAGGTATGAGTGGACCAGCTACTGCACATATAACAGACTACATAAAACTTTCTGTAAATGCGAGGAGTTCACTTTGTTTCAACAGAAAGACCACATTATTGTGCAGCATGTGGTTCTACTACACACAGCTGACCTTTTTACCCGTCTATATTCTCATTTGGGAGGAGATTTTAGTCACATCAACAGTTAGGTCTGTGAATAACCTGCGGATTTATAGAATCGTAGTATGTGTATGTTAGCCTCATTAGTGCACACTTTCGTTTGCTTATTGTATTCTTGCGTAGTTGAATTCTTTGTGTCTTGGTATTTTTTTTGTGTGACTGTAGTGATTAACCATTTCCTGTCATTGAGGTGTATTGGTAGAGTGGATACTTACAGTTGTACCAAAATTTGACACACACCAGGAAGTGGTAAGGTTAAGCGAACAGCATCTGTCTGGTATCTCTGGCCAATTCATAGTTATAAACTCCTAAGGTTCCTATTTATATTGATATTACCACACCATCTCTCATAAAATTAGGTAAACAAACAGCACCAGTCAATACAATGAAACTCACTCACATTTTTGAACGTTAGCTGGCTCTCAAATTCAGTTTGAAATTATTCAGAAAGGTCTGATAGATGCACTCACCAACCTTGTGCACATTCGTGCGATAGGCAATGAACCACACCTATTGTATGGTGGCTAGGAATACTACCTGGATGCCTGAACCTAGGTTGGCGGAGCAGGGCTCGAACGCATGACCCGATAGTTGTAAGTCATCTTCTCAAACTAATCAGCCACAGTTCTATAGGGAATTAAAGATTATAGGAAATTTATCATAATAGAATTCTTTTCGTATAAAGTCGAATTAAAACTGTCTAAATAGGAACGAGGGAATAAAATAGTTTCATTTGGTTTAAATTTTTACCTCTATATAATTAACTGTGACGGACACTCGTGATAATAATTCAGAGCAAATATGCCCCTCAAAACGTCAATCTATCAGTCACATACATCACATATGCATGGTGAGTGTGTTGTGACCGAATGGAATTATATGCGTGGGTATAACGATAGTGAGACTCAATAGACACCTCAACCGAATACTGTTACGACTGGCCTCACTCAGTTCTTTCTGCTTCACTGAGACACGTAGATGTCAGAATACAAAAGACTGGCCTGTGATTGTAAGAACAACAACCTTACATAGTATATAAATATTTACAAAACTCTCAGAAAATGGAGCAATAAGTAGACCAATCCGACTGGTTATTATATGACGTCGAATTTGTCCAGTCAGGTTATCGTGTCAGTGTACATGCATAAATCATGATCTGAGAACAATTTCTCTATTGACTGCCTTTTTCCCGGTACCTGTCAGCATGGATACTGGGAATGCCAGCTTATATATTGACTTGGATAGAGCTATTAGCACTAATTAGTGAAATATTAGTCGAAGTAATTATGTTTTATTTTTTCATTCATTGGAAAATACGAATACCGAATTAATGAAAGTCATTTACCGAATGGCTAAATTTTTTAAACCAACAAATCATAACTTGGATTAGCTATTGATAAACATTTGTCCTTTGATTAATAATTTAGATTTACATTTTCAATGCAACCTCGCCTGATTAAGTAGTACACTAGTTACTAGCCGGTCCTAAGCCCCATAAAAAGGGAAGGTTGGGCATAGGGCTAGCAACCCCACACCTACACCAATCGCTAAACAAACTTCAAAGCACAAAGAGAATATTAAAAATAAAATTAAACTTATTCCTCGCTGGAATTGGATTGGAGAGACGAAATAACGCCGGTTGGTGAAAGCCTTCGGGAAGCCAATTGGCTGGTGTTTCTTCTCTCCTCTCGATGAAAGAGAAAGTAAACATGGGGACATGAAATGTCTGCACCATGTATGAACCTAGCAAGGATGCCTAGATTGCAAAAGAAGTGAGAAGGTATGGCATAGAAGTGCTAGGAATCTGCGAAAGCAGATGGAATGGAAGTGGACTCTGCAAACTGTCAAGTGTAGAGTCAATAATCTACTCCGGTATTGTTGCACAGATGCCAACCACGAGCAAACTGAGTTATGGAGTGGTTATCATGATGTTTCCAAGAGCATCGAAGGCTCTCAAGCAGTGGAAACCAATCTCCGCCTACAGGATCATGACAGCAAGGTTCAACTCAAATCATGTGCGGACCAAATTGCAACGCTACTCATCATCATAGAACAGAGCGTAGAATGGCAGTCAACCCTCTAATTCAACTTCATCGATTTTCAAAAGGCCTTCGACAGCGTCGACCGAAAAGTAATTTGGAAACTGCTTCAACACTACAGTTTTAGCGCCACAAACCTTTATCAACCTCATTCAACGGTAGCTATGTGACGACGCTACATGCCAAGTGATTCACAATGGAAACCTCAGAGAGGCCTTCGAAGCGAGGACAGGGAACAGTAGTAAGACAAGGTTGACGCCTACTATCACTGATGATCTTCCTGATTGTGGTCAACTGGACTGGATAATGCAAAAAACTGTGAGGAGCGAGAAGGGGGTCATACGCCGTTTCACCGATGAGAAGACTCTAGGAGATTTGGACATTCGCTAATGATTTATGTCTAATGTCGCACAAACCCGAGGACCTACAGCCAAAAACCAACAAGTTGACAGAACAGGCAGGGCAGCGAAGACGGGACTTCAAGTGAATGTAGAGAACACAGGGGTGATGCTAATACAAAAACAAGCATCAATCACCATCAACAGGAGAAACCTAAGGGAAGTTGTCTCCTTCACCTACGTAGACAGGGCAGCATCGTTTCAACTACAGGCGGCAGCGGCGACACAGATGACGATGTCAAAGTCAGGATCGCAAAGACATCGAGACAGGCCTTCATCAATCTGAAATCAATCAGTGTGGAGATCTACTGCACTCCACTCCACTCAGCACAAATCGTGAACAACATCCGGATTTTCAACACTAATCCTGTCAAGTAAGTCAGTGCTTCCATGTGATGGTTTAGAAACTTGGCGCGTTACGGAAAGCATTTCCAACAAACTACACACATACATCAACAGCTGCCCCTAACCTCACTCAATACTGAAGATGGAGATCAGATCTCCAGAATAATAAGAATAAGCAAGGAGTAACTCTGCCTGGCTGTCAACGAACTAACTGAGAACCTATCGCCCAACAAATATGCAGTGGAGGAAAGTGGAGATGGATTGTATTAAGCATACACTGAGAAGGCCGATTGGGGACATCACGCACCAGTCCATCGAGTGGAATCCAAAGGGGAAACGACGAGTCAGCCGTCCTAGCTGAGGGTGGTAAAACTAAAGTTTATCGTCTGACATTTCGAAGAATTAAGCATAAGACCATACACGGAAGACCATCGTCTAACAGTAGGTAGGAAATAATTCAGTTGGGAAGAATCTGATGAAAAGGAGATAGGTGTGAAAACTGTTAGGTGATCAGTGTATCTGATGAAATTGATACTAGCTGAAGATGGTAAGTCATGCAGAGAAAAGGAGAAAAGACAGGGGAAAGGACTGCTCCTTGGGGAACCGGTCACAGTAAGAAACGAGGAGGAGCGCTTCCGTCTGTGAACAGTATGTTGTCCTCTTTCAGAGAAATAGGACCGCGTCCAGCTTATTCTCCGAGACTCCATTAGTCCCATTTAGCTTGTCCAGCAAGAGAGGTCTTGGGACAGAACCAAATGCACATCGAACATACATGGCTATTCTATGAAGATTACAAGCAATATTGTGATATAAGGGAGTGGTGGCATCCAAAGTGCTTCTTCTGCTTCTATATGAAAATTGATTAGGGTCTCCGAAAGCCTTCAACGAGGGTTCAAGTGCAGATATTATTAACTGCCCCACTATTTTCAAAAGCGAAGTAACCGCAACCGGAAGGAATTACGTATATGCACCTGGAGTCTCTGATTTAGGTATGAGGACTATCCTAGTATCTTTCCAGACAGCTGGTATGGTGTTTTCTGAAAACGATCTATTGACCATATTAGCTGATGTATGGGATAAAGAATAACTGTGATTATTGATAGAGAATCACTCTTGTTTTGTTTCTTTCCTTCTGAATAAATATGACGCTAAAATATTTCCGTTCGATTTTCCAACTTTCTATCGTTCATTAATTATGGATAGTGGCTAGCAGTGGGATTCAGAAAGTATGTTTCGTCCTGCTCTGAACTCGTCACCTGGGTGTATATGTATCCCAGTGAGCGATACTCTTCCCACTAACACCCAAACCCCGTACCGAGTGCTTCAAACGCCAGAGCGCTATTTACCAAGCCATTGAATAACCATGGGATTGTGCAAGTAACAATTCCATCATTTATCCTATCAAAGAAATATGCAGTGTATATAGGGGTAGAAGTTGCTTGATTCTAAATCTCCATCATGATATTATTTTTCTACAAAGGTCATGTGATCTCTGTAAAAGTGTGACTCGTTGCTCTAGGAAGTTAACTTTTAACCAATGGACCACAGGTTCGAACACCGCTTCAACTACCAAAGAACGAAGCTCACTCAGCCACCTTGTGAACATTCATACACTAGGCAATTAACCACACCTAGTGTGTGAGGGCTGACGATACTACCTGGCTTCCCAAATCACAGCAGGTGGAGCGAGATGCGAACCTTTGGCCCATTGTTTGAAAGTCTAACCAATGAGCTACAGCTCCACTTTCAATTATCAAGGTTTCAGTAATCAGGTAGTATCATTAGCCCTTATGCATTAGGTTTCTCTCATTGACTGATATTCGAATGTGCACAAGACTGCTGAGAGCATTTCATTCCATTCTTTCGTCTAATTCATAGCTGCTTCACTTGATGCAATATGAGGCCTATTGTGTATTGTTATTGTTATTAATGAAAATGTATTTTTTCTTTATTTACCAGGTAATTCAAATGATCATTTTCGTATTGGTCTTGCCTTTGCTAAGAAGTCAGTGAAGCTGTATTCTGCATTTTGCGATTCTGATTTGATTTTAGCTTCTCCTTTAGGACTTCAGTCTATAATTGACGAAGAAGAGTAAGTACCTCTGATATCTCTCTGATCTTATTGTATTATATTGTGTCATGTATATCCAGTCTCCTTCAACAGCTGTATGATGATGTTACATGCCAAGTGATTCACAATAGAAAGCTCATTAATGTCTTCAAAGCGAAGACAGGAGTGAGACAAGGTTGCCGCCTACTGTCACCGATCATCTGTAACTGATTAGGGTTAGAAAGAGCTGATGGATGTTGGCAGCTTTTTCTGAAATAATGGATCCACTTGGACTCGTTCCTTGGAAGCAACTCATATGTAGACTGGTAACGAGTCCATGCAATGACGATGAACAGTGAGGACGAGATGAATACTCATTGATGACATTTTTGTGTGGTGTGGTTACAGTGTTATGTGAATTGCACCAATTTAGATCAAATGAATCATCATATGTTAATTCAGCAGTAACTGAGCGGAAGAAGGTTGATTGCCAGATCTGAAGACTTGATTGACTGATGTCATTGATGTGTACTACTAAAGATTCCTTAACTTGGTGGCAATATATCTGCCCAATGTTTTCTGGTTTTCATATTTACAATATCCACCTTGACAATCCCTTCCACTTTCCTTTTTCATTCATGGCTGATTGATCTTGGAAGTAATTCTCTGTAGTCAGGGCACATTAAAATCTTCACTACTTCGGCATATGAACCTGAACTTTGTTATCTCAGCTCTTACAAAATAGATACTGTTCTCGGGCTCTTTTACCTTCATTATTGGCCACATCTAGTTATTCGAGCGACGAATTGTCAGCCTGTTTCATATCTAACTGTTAATCTCATAATCCTTCCGATCTGAAACCTGAAGTTGTACTCATCAACAGATGATAATTCTATTCTTCAAAAACTAATTAAAAATCTACTTTTTGGTACCATTAAAAATAAATTTATTGTTTGTTTTTCTCCATTATTAATTTTAGTGAAAAGGAAGCTGATGTTCAGTATATCATTGCATCTATCGAATTGTTAATAATTGATCAGGCTGAAATGTTATTAATGCAAAATTGGGCTACTGTACAACATATAATCTCATTACTTAACCAACGTCCGACAAAGCCTGTATTCGCATCAGCCGCTCGAATACGATTATCTTATCTAGCTGGATATGGTAGACGTTATCGTCAAACATTATTATTCTCTGCTGTATCCACGTTTTTGATTACATTGCTGTCGGGTGAATGTGAAAGTGAGTTTTACTAGACATTTATTGTCATTACCTACAGTTACTTACATTGGTACCTAATACAATCTTATGAAGAAGAATGAAATTGTCTGATGTGGTTATGTACATAGTTTTTATCATGTTATGAAGTCTGTCCCTATTATTCTGAGATATGCAGATATTTCTAAAGTCACAAATAGTAATTACATTTATTTATTTACGTCTAACTGAAAGTACAGTTATGGCATTTACTACAACTTTCTCAATAGACTCGAGCGCTGAGGTGAGCCCACTGTTGAGAACTTTGGAATTATTAGGTTGTTCAGCACAAAAAAGTTGTCTATATTATTATAATTATTGTTATTTTAACTATCTGAGATAGCCGTGGTTTGGGAGACTAGTATTTATACTGGGCGATGGTTGAAGATGAAATGAAAATTTTGACCGCGGTCGAATTCAAACCAGTGACTATCGGGTTTACAGCTCGGCAAAAGTTATAACTTTCACTCTAAAAAATGGTAATTTTTGCATGTTTACTCAACTGGAACCGAGAATAGATTGTTGTACTTAGGGTAATTTTAATTTGATTATCTGTGTTTTCAGTACAAACCCTTGGTACAGCATTGGTAACAAGAAATGCATCACACAAAGTAATGGTGTCATAGCACTATAAATACAGAAATAAACAAGCGAGAAAACAATGTTCATGCATTCACTATCATAAAATACGTATAAAAAGAGCTTTCATTGCACTTATGTTACTTTTCACACTAGTATACCGCAGCATTGTCGCCACTGATGCCTATTCTAAGCCATATTTGATATCTCAGACTACCAAGTCACATGATCTCTCAGACTTCATCCAGAGAGTAATGAAGCATCAGCAAATGCCAACCCAACATAACTATCCTTCATCACATGGTGTATCATGTTTTACACTGACTACCTCTCTGTTTTTCATATCAAGTCACAGGGCTGATAGAACTGCTAGTAGGTCGTCCTTAACACAATTTTTCATGTGGTCATGGAACAAGATACGGATTTTCAACACCAACGTCAAATCAGTGCTCTTGTATGGTTCAGAGACTTGGCGCGTCACGAAAGGCATTTCCAATAAACTACAGACATTCATCAACAACTGCTTACGCTGGCTCGCTACTGAAGATCAGATGGCCAGAATAATGATAATAAGCAACAAGGAACTCTGGGAACGAACCAACCAAGAACCTATCACGCAACAAATATGCAGGAAGAAGTGGAGATGGATTGGCCATGCACTGAGAAGGCCGACTGAGGACATCACGCGTCAGGCCAGTTGCTCGAGTGGAATCCCCATGGGAAGCGACGAGTTGGGTGTCCCAGCTGAGGGTGACATGGAGGAGGTCGTGCGAGGAGGAAATGAGAGGTTGTGGGCTGTCGTGGGACTAGGTTCAAAAGATCTCAGAGAACAGAGGTCACTGGAGGTGTGCTACTGAAGCCCTATGTTCCACTAGGAACCCAAGGGACTAATAATATAATAATAATAATGAAACTTCAATAGTTTACGTTTCTATTTCATAAGGATGTACTAGATATGTTCTCTTGTAAATCTTTTCATTTATTTGTCGTGATTATCATTCAGGTATGATTTTTAGACTAATCTGGTTTTTTAAAAAAAATTTTCTTCTTAGATTTCCAAGGAATGAATTATATTCCACCACTACCACATTATACTGGTTTGTATCCCACATTCCTGCCTGATTGGATACGTGTACCTGGATTGAAACCATCTATTCGAACAGGACAAAAGCGTCAACATCCAGATAAAGATGTTGTAAACAATGATAAATCAATAAATTCTAATTTTAAACTACATTTAGTATCATTTCTAGTTCCTGGACAAATTGCAGTGAAATCATCCTACACAAAGTTGTTGGGTGATAATAGTCATTTGGATTCATCAGATTCAGATACGGAGACAAAAGAATCAACTACAAATACTACTACTTCCATTCATCTTTCTAATTCTTCATCTTCACAACAACTTCCAAGGATAGATTCATCTACAAATTCCTTATTATTGTCTTGTAAACCACTTACATTTACTGATTATACTTATATGTGTAAGTTGTATTGAAATGCAAAAATTTTGCTATAGATATTTAACCTACAGTCAGCTCTTCAATATTACCCTCTTGTTGTAGTAGAACTACTGTGTAAGTAATGTAGATATGAGATATCGAGTTTAAGTTAGAAAAGATGATCCAGTTAATGAGATTGCTGTGGTGAGACTGGGATTGTGTTGTATTCTCTGGGCTAAATGATATACGCGTGAAGCTTTCATTGTCTTTTTAGATAATATCCATCATCATCATCATCATCATCACTAACTTCGATATGAAGTGGGTTGTCAGGATTCGTTTATAAATGACTTATTAGCCCATGGTGATAAAATGACGTGTGATTAGTAGTTTGATTGCACGAATTTTCTTTTTAATGGTTTCTCTTGTGATTTGTGACCTTATAGTTGTTGCCTCCTTTGGTTTGTGTAGTATAATTTCAAGGGAATTTATTGGTTTATTAGCTAAACCAATTCCAAACGGTCTCAGTAGTTTTGTCGTGATGATAAAACTAAACTTTAGTGACAGCCAATCATGTTCAAGTATGCACTGACCAATCAGTATCAAGAATATAAAGGACAACGTAATTATTAGGTAAAATGGTACTTTATTTACAATTTAGAAATTTATTTTACTTGAGATATAAAAATATCTAGATTTTCAGTGTTTATTTTCTTCGACACCATACCATTGTCTCTGTTGCTACTCATCCATATGAGACTATGTCATATCTCTTCGTGATCGCATTTAAGGTCTTAAAAACCTTTCTAAGACGACTTATTTACATACTTATTCGTATGCACACTAGTTGTCCTACCGACAAAGTGCTTCTTGTGAACACTAACTTAGTGGAGCATATATGACTTTCAAGCACTGTGTATATTGTCGTACCCATCGCCACGGATTTTTTGATAATTGCCAGAATAGATTCTTCTGATCTACTCTTTATCCACTGAAGATTTTTTTTTTCTTCCTATTTCGGTTGTATATACCACGAATCTGTGATTTGCCAAGAAAAATATCTGTAAATTACCCAGTCTTCCTAGGTTATATTTACATCTCTGAAAAGGACATTCATCTATTTCAACCACACAACCTACCTCACCATATTTTGCATACGACCTGTAACTCAATCTTCGTCATAATTCATCAGTGTAAACAATACGGTAAATGAACGTAAAAATGACCTTGAATGAAGAATCTCTAATCCGGTTGGTTATCCTCAAGGTTACCCGTCACTGAAGTTAAGTTCTACCGTTGTGATCTCTGATACGTTCTTTATTTGGCATGATCCCCTTGCTGATTTCCATGGATGACTTCGTAGTTTATAATGAGTTGGATAAGCATCTTCCGATGAAGTTGCGGGGATAACTTTTCTTCTTCTTTATCAATCCATTTTGTTCATTTATCCGTGTAGTAGTTGTACTGCTGTGCGTTTCCACTCTCCTGAAGTAAAGTCTGTACATAACTAATTTCTTGTGCTATTGGGATTTCGCTATGATAATTGAAGAATTGATCAGTGTGTTGGCTTCTTGTACTCTTAAATCTTTAATTAATCTATGTTTGTTCTACTGACTGAAAAATCCAGAAATAGTAGTTTCTTATTTGGTTCTTGCTTTTATTATGGATATAGTTTCGTTGAAAACGTTAATAATGAAATTGTGATTGCTTCCCACTTCATCCTTTTAGTGACAGTAAAAGTGTTGTTTACATATTTGATCCAAATTTTGGGCTTTATCACTCGTAAAACGATGACTTCAAGCCTTTGCATTACTGTTTCTGTGATTTCTTCAGATATCGGTGATAACATTATAGTTCCTTTCATGTGGTTGTATATCTTACTATTACATTGGAGGTCTGCTGTTAGACAAAGATCAACGAATCCCATCAAATCTGAACTCTGAAGTTTTGTACATTCTGAAAGCCTTTTGTCATTATTGCGAAGGAAAGATAGAGTATCTTTAACCATTTATGTTTCGGTTGATGTGCGTACCTCTATGACATCACTGGACATCAATAATTCGTCATTGTCTGTGTGGACGTTTCTTATTTTTGCTGGAAGTTTTGTTGGCGAAAACTCTCTTGGTACATTGTAAGCTGAAGTGAGTGTCCCCAGAATTGGAACTATTGGTCGTAGGGAAATGTTTTGTTTGTGTTGTTTTACTCTACCGTAAAACTTGAGAAGAACAGGCCTCCTCGATTCCATCAGCTGTTGGTCTTGTTTCGCTCTGACAAGTTTGTTTAGCACCTTGATAATCTACTTGTGAAATTCTTAAATAGATTTTGTTTCAAATGTCTGATATACATTTTTGTCTTTGAGCAAATTTCGGCCTTCTGGATATAGTCCTCCATGTCCATGATTTTTTGGTACGCCTTTTACATATAAGGAGTATAACCACTGTTTCTCTTATTTTTTAGTCTTTCGTGCACTCTCTGTTCTTGAGTGGTCAGGTATGTGTGTGTATCTTTCTTCTGTCTGCTTTATGACACGGCTGTTTGTCATATTTCTTGTTGAGTTTTTTTCATTCAGTCCTGATGTCTTGAGTGATAATTTCAATGCAGCGAATAATCCTCTTTTTGTGGCATCTATAGAAATGTGATTGAATACTTTTTGAAGAAGATATCCTTCGACCTTGGTCGGTGGTTGCTTTGATTATACTTAGATATTTACTGTCGCCAGAAGAGATTTTCTTGTTACTCATTGAGAAGTCGGCTTGGCTTTAATGGTTCAGTGGCCGACGAAATCTCTGCACGGATACGAAAGGCTTGGTTGGATTTTGTCAGCTTACGCCATCTGTGGCGCCGCCGCGATATTCGATTATCTACTAAAGGTCTAATGTACTGTACTGCAGCCCTCTCTGCTCCGCTGTTTCGTTGTGAAACATGATCATTTAAGGTAGAAGACATGAGAAAGCTTCAGTTGTTTGACCACCGTTGCCTTCATAGCATAGGCCATATTCCGTACTGTCATCACGTGAGTAACGCAGAAGTTGGGCGTAGAGTTTTAGGGAGAAAAAGTAAATCAGTTGGTGCGATTGTGAACACTCACCGACTCGGCCGGCTGGGACATGTGTTACATATGTCTTGTCGCTGTCTGTCTCCTCACGCAATGTTGGAAAAAGGCTTGGGAGGGCAGGGGGGGCATAGACAAAAACTTGGCATCAATGTATGAAGTGTTTGACTGTCGGTTTGAGCCATATGGGGCGATGCAGACTAGGTGGTTGGGGTCAGTGGGACAAGAGAAACCAGTGGTTGGAGACTAGGTGATATAGCCGATAACCGATGTCAGTGGCTCAGATGAATAGACAAATTATCCTCATCGTAACCGCTATACCTAATCTCATTATTTTCTCATCCCTCCTTCCTCTCTTTTATTACTTTCTACCTCTACTTCTTTTGACCGACTTTTCTTTTCTTGTTGATCTCCCATTTTATTGCCTTGTTGCTTGATATGCTGATGAGAGGTGAGGCAACTTGAACCATTACGCAGTAATGCCTGGTCCTATATTGATTTGAATTGGATGGAACTTAGTAAATATCATGCTACATTGTTCACATATGTACACAAAACGAAACAAGCAAAGCAAAGGTGGATAGAAAAAGAATTACGTGAGAGTTGAGAACATATACAAATAAAAGTTACTGAAAATATTCAAAAAATCGGAAATAACTGTATACAACTGTAGTATTATGACCGATTTTCAGTCAAATCATTAACAGTCTCCGACTATTGATTCCTATCCTCTCTAAGAACCCACCTAGGTAGCCTACACCCACATGGCTCACACCAACAGTCTGAGACTTCAGGGACTATCGTGGCGTCTTGATCTGACCATCGTAAATCTTCTTCTAACCCTATCATACTTCGATTAACGTTGTATTTTGGTTGGGCATACGTTCATACCCCTTCAATTGGTGCAAGTTCACAAACTCATCTATCTACTTTCATTCTTTCCCTAATAACCTTCGCCTAACCTTGCCACTACTCACACAGCTATCCACTATACACAAGCAATGCCTTGAAGACACGTGCGAACAAAATCCTGTAATCTCTTTGTGTTTTCTACTCTCAATATCCATGTCTGACAGTCGTATAGTAGGACAAATTGGATCACTGCGCAGTATACTCGTCCTTTAGTGAGCGATTGTACATCTCGTTGGTGTCAAAAATGCTGTGATTTGGGAAATATCGAACGGGTCTTTTGCATGCAAGCTGAGATTTTGGGCTAATAGGGCTCCCAAAGTAAGTGAAGTGGTTGACACATCTCACCACTTCACTCCTATCGTTTAGTCGGAAGTTGGTGCAGAACAGTTCTGTAGCATCATCTTACATTTGACAGGTGGCAAACTCATGCCAGCCAAACATACTCAGATTTTTGGTGAAGGTGTTCAACATCTTCACCTAACAGGACAAATTTGTCTGCGCACTCCAAATGAAACAGTTGGCCTACCTAGGAGTCTATGCTACGAAGGAAACGGTAGTCAAACACCTCAAGCCTTCTCATGTCTTCCACCTCTAATGGTGGTGTTTCGCAGCTATAGAATAGAACAGACCGGACTGCTGTGCAGTACACGCGACCCTAATAGGCAATCGGATATCACAGTGACGCCACAGGTGGTGTATGTTAGCAAAAGCCAATCTAGTCTTTTGTATTCGTGCAGAAATTTCGTCGGTCACTAACCAACGCACCACAACTAATCCCACTTCTCTCTGTTGTCAGCTGTGGAACCGTTGAAGACCAATCCTGGGGCAACAATTTGCAGTTGGGTAATGAGAAACGCATCCCAAACATTCTCAAATTGCCACTCAAAGTGTTCAGAAGACTGCATCTTGTCAGCATCTTCACCTAACAGGATTATGTCATCTGCATATTCTAGTTCATATACTACTCAGTTTGCTTCCACTTGTAAACCAGGTAGTACCATAAGCTCTCATATACTTGTGGCTTATAGCGTAGTAATAATCAGACAGACAAGTCAACGTAGAATTTTGTAAAACATGTGATTCAGCACATCACAACAACATACAGAGACAGTGAACGAACAGAGATATAAGAACATCAAGGTAAACAAAAGAGAACAAGTTGGTGTATATCATTGAAAGTGGTCGAAGATGATGAAAAGCTGAATACATCTTCACCATTGCAGTCTATAATCATCGATTCTTAATGGGCCTATGCGGGTCATCCGAGTTGTATAAGATGATGAGGATTATTCAGTGACTCTTCAAGTGTCAAGCAACTTAAATTGTACTAAATTGAATTGTCATTGTAACTGCATAAACTTTTATCGTGTTTTTTTAATCACCATTATTTATTCCAGCAGGACGTAATGTTTCTGTGGCTCGATTGAATGCTTTTAAGCAACGAATATTGCCAAGACTTCGACGGGGTTCAGATCCACGTGTTCTTATTTATGTAACAGACTTTTATGATCTTGAAGAGCTACGTCAGACGCTACGCTCTGAATCATTAGACTTTTGCTGCATTAATGAGTGAGTTCATTAATGCGTATACGATTCTATGCGAGTGAACTACGTTTATAATCATCGTGTTTCTTAACTACTTATCACCATTCTACTTTCAATTACCTTTTTTTTGCTAGTTTCTGTTAAATTATTAGCTACTGGGCATAGTTTAGGCATTCTTATTTGTGACAGTCGTATGAAGGTGAAGTATGATGTGTGTGTGTGTGTGTGTGTGTGTGTGTGTGTGTGTGTGTGTGTGTGTGTGTGTGTGTGTGTGAATTTCTTTCCAATAAACAGTTTTGAGTAATAAAGTACAAATCTCGAATCGTCAGGTATCTGTGGGTTTCTCGCCTTCAAAGCACTTACAAAGAGTGCGTCAATAGTAAAAACATCAAGGCTGTGTCCAAGCAACCAGAAGAGAATATAAAAGACGCACGTTATTTCTCACAATGAGATAAAGATACAAGATAAACAAATGTTCAAGGTAAAATAGAATATCAGGGAAAAAAGAAGGAAATTACAAGGCCATCATGAGAAGATAGTGATATCTATGGATGTTAAATGGTGGACAAGATACAAAGGAACAGAATGAACAGTCAAGACTGTATGTTAAGCAACATAATAAGCGAACATGAACTATACTACTCAAGGATACTAAGTAGTGTAGAACTGAAGATAAGACGGAGGGGTAGGGAAGGGAAGTGAATATTCCCATAGGTTAAACGAGAACAAGTAAGAAAGAAATTAACAATGTGGAACTGTGGCTCATTGGTTTAAGAAGATGACTTTCAACCAAGTTAGCCATGGGCTCGAAAATTACTCCACCTACCGAGATTTGTGCAATCACATAGGTAGTATCATTAGCCCTCACACAATATGTATGACTCATCGTTGCCTACTGGACAAGTGTGTACAAGGTTGTTGAGTACATTTCGATTCGTTACGAACTTATATGTATTTTCATAACCCTTTATAATAGTAATGCATAATTTTCGTGATTATTTATTGAAAATAAACTCAGTACTTTGCACTGGATTCATTCGCATACACTCAGAATGACTCCAACTCATAAAGCAAATGATTTCTTCAGATCAAATGAATCTCACTTTCCGATTTAGCTGGACAGGCATATCATAAAATAGATGGTGATCAATTTGCAGATTTTTTTCAACTTATTATTATATTATTATTATTATTATTATTAGTCCCTTGGGTTCCTAGTGGAACATAGGGCTTCAGTAGCACACCTCCAGTGACCTCTGTTCTCTGAGATCTTTTGAACCTGGTTCCACGACAGCCCAGAAGCTCTCATTTCCTCCTCGCACGACCTTCTCCATGTCACCCTCAGCTGGGACGTCCAACTCGTCGCTTCCCATGGGGATTCCACTCGAGTACCTGGCCTGACGCGTGATGTCCTCAGTCGGCCTTCTCAGTGCATGGCCAATCCATCTCCACTTCTTCCTGCATATTTGTTGCGTGATAGGTTCTTGGTTGGTTCGTTCCCAGAGTTCCTTGTTGCTTATTATCATTATTCTGGCCATCTGATCTTCAGTAGCGAGCCAGCGTAAGCAGTTGTTGATGAATGTCTGTAGTTTATTGGAAATGCCTTTCGTAACTCGCCAAGTCTCTGAACCATACAAGAGCACTGATTTGACGTTGGTGTTGAAAATCCGTATCTTGTTCCGCATGCTGAGTGCAGAAGATCTCCACACTGGTTTCAGGCTAATGAACGCCTGTCTTGCTTTTCCGATTCTGACTTTGACGTCCTCATCCGTCCCGCCTGTAGTTGAAACAGTGCTTCCTAGATAGTGAAGGAGGTTACTTCCTTTAAGTTTCTCCCGTTGACGGTGATTGGAGTTTGTTGTTGTTGTTGATGGTGGTGGTGCGGTATCTTCATCACTTCTGTCTTCTCGATATTCACCTGAAGTCCCGTCTTCGCTGCCTCTTCTATCAACTTGTTAGTTTTTGCCTGCAGATCTTCAAGTTTATGTGACATTAGGCATAAGTCATCGGCGAAATCCAAGTCTTCTAGGTTCTTTTCCGCCGTCCAGCCAGCGTATCCCCCTCTTCTCGCTGCCTACTGTTTGCTGCATGATCCAGTCCACCACAATAAGGAATATCATGGGGGATAGTAGGCAACCTTGTTTCACTTCTGTCTCACTTCAAAAGCATCACTGAGCTGAGCTTCCCATTGTGAATTACTTGGCATGTGGCATCTTCATATAGTTGTTGAATGAGGCGGATAAAGGTTTGCGGTACTCCGTAGTATTGAAGCAGTTTCCAAATTACTTCTAGGTCGACGCTGTCAAAGGCCTTCTCAAAGTCGATGAAGTTGAGGTATAGAGCTGATTGCCATTCTATGCTCTGTTCTATGATGATGCGAAGCGTTGCAATTTGGTCTGCACATGATTTGTACTTCCTGAAGCCTGCCTGCCTGTTCCGGTCGCAGTTTTGAATCCAGTGCATCTTTAAGCCTCTCCAGGATGATGCGGCTTAATATTTTACTTGGGGTGGACAGGAGAGTGATTCCGCGCCAGTTCTTGCAAGCACTGAGGTCTCCCTTCTTCGGCAGTTTGACAAGGTAACCCTTCTTCCAATCGTCAGGTACCTTCTCTTCCTTCCACACCTTCTGCAATAGTGGTGTGAGCATGTCCGCTGTTGTCTCTGCATCTGTTCTCAGTGCTTCTGGCGGTATTCCATCTGGTCCTGCTGCTTTCCCGCATTTCAGTAGCTTTATGGCATTCAGGACTTCCATTTTCGTTGGGGGTTTTTTCAACTTATACGCTTCATATTGTTAATTCTCATAGTTTAGTAACTTTTCACTTGCTCAAGCATTATATAATCATTAGGGTTGTCATTGAAAATGACTGAATCAAGATAACAGACTATGTTTTCAAAGTATTATAAAGTAATGAAGTATATACTACTGAAAAATAAGAATAATTAAGAGTAGTTTATACCGATTGGTAGATTTGTTAGTCGAAAAACTATTCAACTGTAGAAAATGTGAATATGAATTGTGAAGTTTGTAGATAATCTTCAAATAAATCGATCCATCTTAGACCTTTATTGCTCAAACAGTAAAAACATAGAATATTGTTATCATTATTTATTTAAAACAAGTTTGATATCAGATTGGCTATCGCTTGTCATCTCAGGGAAGAAAAGTTTCATCGATGTAGAAAACAGGCATCTACACCAAAGCGTTCTACATTGAATCTTTCACATTGAGAGTAGCTTTGCAAGGCATCGAAAGGGAAGTAGGTTGGTGTTGTTTTTGAATGGTACTGCCTAGTCTAATTGAATTTTTTTTTATGTTGCTGTCATTCGGTTTCCGGATGAGCACCAATAAACCCGTTTTTTAATTACAGATAGACATTTTATCCGAAAGACCGTATTTAGATATTATTATTATTATTATATTATTATTATTATTATTATTATTATTATTATATTCAGATCTCAGAAACACAGCCATACATTTGTATTGAAGCTTTTCAAAACTGTAGCGAGTGTGTTATGTGATATGCCTGAATTTGCGATGACTAAGGATCGCCTACTAAACTAGTTCACTAGTTACTAGCCGGTCCTAAGACTGGATACAGAGGGAAGGTTGGGCATACGGCTAGCAACCCCAAACCTACACCAATCGCTAAACAAACTTCAAAGCACAAAGAGAATATTCAAAATAAAATTAAACTTATTCCTCGCTGGAATCGAGTCGGGGAGACGAAGTGACGCCGGTTGGTGAAAGCTTTCGGGAAGCCGATTGGCCGATGTTTCTTCTCTCCTCTGGATGAAAAAGAAAGTAAACATGGGGACATGAGATGTCTGCACCATGTATGAACCTAGCAAGGATGCCTAGATTGCAAAAGAAGTGAGAGGGTATGGCATAGAAGTGCTAGGAATCTGCGAAAGCAGATGGAATTGGAATGGAAGTGGACTCTGCAAACTGTCAAGTGTAGAGTCAATAATCTACTCCGGTATTGTTGCACAGATGCCAACCACGAGCAAACTGAGTTATGGAGTGGTTATCATGATGTTTCCAAGAGCATTAAAGTCTCTCGCTGCCTTGCCTCTTCTGTTGACTTGTTAGTTTTCGCCTGTAGGTCTTCGAGTTTGTGTGATAAGACGTTGAATATAAATCATCAGCGAAATCCAAATCTTCTAGGGTCTTTTCATCGGTCCAGCCAGCGTATACCCCTCTTTCCGCTCCCCAAAGTTTGCTGCATGATCCAGTTGAGTGGAGTCGACCACAATGAGTAAGATGATGGATGATAGTAGGTGGCAACCTTTTCCTACTCCTGTCCTCTGTCTTCACTTCGAAGGCCTCTCTGAACTATCGATTGTGAATCACTTGGCCTTGAGCATCCTCATATAACATATAGCTTAGCTGTTGTTGAATGAAGTTGATAAATGTTTGTAGCACTAAGACCGTAGTGTTGAAGCAGTTTTCAAATTGCTTTTCAATGGAGGCTGTCGTTGGCCTTTTGAGAATCGATGAAGTTGAGGTGAAGATGCAGTTGACTGGTATTCTATTCTGTGCTGTGTTTTATAATGATGCGTAGTGTAGCGTTGCAATTTGATTCATATTTTTCCAATAAATGAAACTCTTCATTTGCTGTTTATTATAGATATACAGAAGATTCCGAAGCTGAACGCTTTCGTACCTTGTTTGCTGATGGTCGAATTCGTATACTTCTAATGACTGAACGTTATTACTTCTTCCGAAGGTTTGACTTTTATTTTTCCATTCTTATTATATTACTATGTATTTTCACACACAGAATTTCATATTGTATGCACATTGTTCTTAATGGTACTGATAATATTGTCGTAGTCTGCTGCTTTAAAATACGTTCGACAAACTCAGAACTCTATATACAGTAATTAAAGGTTACGCAAAAGTAGAGAAAGAGCAGCAGGATCCGACAAACTAGTTCCAGAAGTATTTAAGGACTGTTGCCGAGGCCTACTAGTCGGGCTAACTGAAGTGTTAACTAGTGTATCTGAATCATATATGATATCTGCTGACTGGGTCCAATCATTGATTGTTTCTGTCTTCAAGAAAAAAATCCCCTCGTGATAACCACAGGGGAATCAGTATGACGAACATAGTATCTAAGATTTTAGGTTCTGTATTATCAGACATCTGAATGGAGTTCGAAAACAGCATGCTTGCGGATACTGGCTGTTTCTCAACCTGAAGGCGGCGTTCGACTCCATCGATAGAAAGATTTTATTGAAATGTCAGAAAGTACATCATTCTGTTGAAGGTTCTGTATACTCAAACACTCATGGGCGTCTTGGTTGTATTGTGTTCTCTGAGCTGCGTTGTTTAATCGTGAAGCTTTCATCGTCTTTCTAGACAACATCAGCACTAACTTCAATATGAAGTGACCTGTCAATATCTCTCCATGATTGATTTAGTAGCTTGCCTTGACGAATGGTCTGTGATTGATTGTTGTGTCATTGACTGTATAGATTTTCCTGTCCCTCTGACCTTTCTATTGGTTGGTAGATGGGTCTATGTCCATACATTTGTTGATTACTGACTGACTGACCTGAATTCTCTGATATTCTTTATGTTTTCAATCTCAGTCCAAGATTTCTACATTGTCGAAGTTGAATTTATGTTCATAGCGTTATCCACATGCATTAAAATGAGTGATGAAATGTCGTGTGTGACGCTTAATAGCCAATTAGTGTTCATGTAGACGAAGGCGAAGAGGGTGACCACTTTGTCCAATGTAGTGTTGACTACAGTGATTGCAGTTGATTTTGTAAATGATATTCGGTTTGTCTTCTTTGGTAGTTGTGTTTTTTGGTCTGCATAATAGTGTTTGGAGAGAATTTGTTAATTTATGAGCCACACCAGTTCCACCAAGTGGTCTCAGTAATCTTGTCGTGATTTCTGATATATTCTTTATGTATAGTAGGACGATGCGTTTATTGATTTCTGTCGATGACTTTGTAGTTGATGATGTACGGGATAGGCATCTTCTGATAAAGTTTTGTGAGTAGCCGTTCTTCTTTAGGTTGGACCGCAAGTAATTTTCTTCGTTTCTCCTTGAAGTTGTTGTATTGCAGTGTGTTCTCGCTCTTTTGAATCTGGACGCTTTGACTGTGAAAAGGTTTAAGATGCCTAGATGAAAGCTTAACACATTCCATGAAGCTGCTACTGTTGTTGTAAGATGTTTAAATAAATGTTGGTCTCCGTTTCATCGTCTTTGTGACAACCCAAATAGATTGTTGTGACTCCTAATGAAATGGTTTAGAATCGTTCCGAATATCCTCGATTCTTTTTTTCATCTTAAATACATTTCTTTTCTTGCCTTATCCCTTCTTCGTCTCACCTATCAACTTTCTACAGCCTTCGGTCATGCTATTACTGTCCATTATCTATCTACCTTGCATCTCGATATACTGATATCAGTATTGGCGTTTCACACCGATACACTCTAACTATGGTAAAATGAACTTAAATCAGCGTTTTTTAACTGATACTTCTGAGAATTATCAGGATCAAATCTATTAGGAGACATTACAATGCTCACTGATCACATGTAAAGGTGAGCAAAGAATTAAATATTGTATGTGTTTTGATGAAATTGTTCCACCATCAATATGTTAACTTTTTGTTTTTTTACATGTATACAGGCGAAAAATTCGTGGACCGCAAACTTTTATCTTCTATGGTCCACCAACATTTCCGTGGTTTGTCAAAGAATTATACGATTTTCGACATGTTGAAAACGAAATACAATATAATATGACAATACTTTATTGCCCTCCAATAGAAGCTCACATTGTATGTATGATAACTGGTTCTGTTGAGTTTTAATACTATTTTTGTACATAATACACATTTTTGTTTACTCAGAATATTATAATGTATAGATTTGTCTTTTGATGTTCTGTTTCTTGCTCATTGGTACTCATTGCCTTTAATTATACGGGGATCGATCGCATATTAAAACGAGTCGAAACAATTATACCTTGCGGTATTCGGTCAGATATACAACCTATGTAACGAGATAGTTATAGCACTGGAGTTATGAGTCGTTGGTTTAGGGAGATGACTATCAAACAGTGAGTCACGGGTTCGAGTCATGCTCCACCTACCCAATTTTGGCCAACCAGTTAATATCATTAGCCGTTACACAATGGATGTGATTCATTGCCTACTGGACGAATATTGCATAAGGCTGGTGAGTGCATTTCGATTCGAGCTATTGACTCATATCTTGTTAAAGATCATCTGTGTTCTCTTCTTTTTCAACGACATTTCCACCAAAGGAAAAAGCGAATGCTGCGCATTATAATTGCTCATTAATAGGAATTTGGATTCCTTGTCGGTGTCATCAGTAGGATATATTGGCAGTACCAGTGACCAGTTAATCAGGGCTAATCCGACTTACCTGAAGCACGTAGATGGCGAAATTAAAAAGGAATGATGAGATTAGGATACTGGGCCCCACCCTACTGTTGCTTCAGAACAGGATGAAGATTTGTGTGTATCTTGAAACTGCAGTATACCTCTCTCATAACATTAATGAATGTTCTAAGGGCATGGCAGGTGCAGTCCTGTTCACGGTGTCAAAGTCGAGAAAAACGATGATTAGAGTTAACCACGTAATGTTTTCCGATCTTTATGTAGGTATGCGGTGCATCGGCCTAGGAACTTAAATTTCCAGCAGTGGATCCTGGTTTCAAGCCCCGCTGCACCTAGGTATCTAGGTAGTATCGTAACTCCTTCACACAACTTCGGCTTATTGCCTAGCATATAAATATATACCGAGTTAGACTACACTACACATTCATTACTTAGGCTCTTTTCGACGATGGTTTACATGACACTCAATTAACAACCTAGTCCTTACCATGATGTCTAACGTTGATCAATGAAGTAGGAGGAGGAAAAGTGTTTGAGTTGATGTTTTATAAGTTAAACTTCATTCTGTAACTCTGAGGGCGGATGAAGAGTTAGTTCGAGGTGGTTCCTTGGAGTCTTCTATGCAGGCCTCTGAGGTACTTCGATCGAAGCATGGACCACTAATTGAACCTCTTACTTGATATTTAATCCAAAGAGTGGAGATATGATTGACGTTTACATGACTACAAGTGACCAGAACTAGTTCATATGTCATCTTGAGATGGTGGAGAATATTTTTGCCTCAGGAGAATGATTTTTATTCCCTGAACTGGATAGTTTAATCACATAACTCTCGTTATCATTCTAAACAATATCACTCGCACAAAGTTTTTTCTAAAATTACAAGCCATTTATTCGCTGTAAACTCTGAACATCTTGTTTAGTTTTCAAACACCCCTAAGCTAGTTGGATGTATTTGACATCTATTCATAAGCTGTGGATAGTCGCTTTCACGCCATTCACATGAAGGAAGCGAATAGAAGTTTATTCACAGAGACTGAGCTCATAACATTTTCAATGAATAATTGTATTGTGTTCGCGCTCAACTTCACTACAACATTGAAAGAGATAATTTACAATTTAGGTGTTTATGAGAAGTTATTTCCTCCTACTATGGGACTTGTGAGCAATGTGCACCCATGACGCCCACCAAGGAATCTTCAAGTCCCACGGCCAGCATGTTATCATTTAGACAATGAGTCAGGATCTAATGATCTACATTCCCTATTTCTGTCAGTTCACTGCCGTCTTTAAGTAACTATCTTTACATCCTTCTTGGTTGATTCCACAAGTCACGACTTGTCATTGATACTTCGGGAATCATCTCTCGAAGCGAGTCAGCAATAAGCACTAGATTAATTGAATTTGGATATTTGTAAAGATTTATTTATTAAGTTCCGGTTGATTTTTTTTTCTTAATTAACAAGTTATCTCATATGATTCCCTTAACTTGATAATCTAAGATCATAGATTTCTGTATATCTTACCACTGGCTTTTCAATGATTAAATCGGTCCTACAGCGATTCGATTATCTTACTGACAGTGAGTTCTTGAGAAAATCCCATCCGTTCACACTTTCTGTCAACTATTACACTTCTTATATCAAATCATGTTAGGAGTGCAGTTATGCTTAACCTCGACAGTCTTCAAGTTTCAGGGAAAGATTTATAGACAAACAGAAGGAGTAGCAATGGGATCACCAATATCCCCTATAGTAGCAGATATATTTATGGATAGTTGGGAAGATATGGCTTTACGAACATATAATCCGACACCTAAGATATGGTGGCGATATGTAGATGACACATTTACAGTGTTGAAATCGGAACATATCGACAGTTTCTTGACACACATAAACTCAGTAGTTAACGCAATCCAATTCACTTACGAAGTAGAAAATGAACAAGGAGAATTACCTATGTTGGATTGCAGAATAAAACGAAGGATAGATGGTGGTTTAGATACTACCGTCTACAGAAAACCAACACATTCTAACAGGTATCTAGACTTCAAGTCATCTCATCCAGTGTCAGTTAAAGCGGGTTTAGTCAAATGTCTAAATAACAGAGCTGAGAAACTCACTAGTCATTGTAAGGACTTAAATAAGGAATTGAAACACATAAAAGAAGCGTTAATAATTATCCCCATCATTTTATTAAGAAATTCACACGGACGCATAAGAAGCAAAATAATAACACTAATACAAATACAAATAATAGTGACAACATAAGTAGAAAGGAAATCAACACCTCTATTGTGATACCATACAAGGAAGGAACATCAGAAACCATACGTAGGATTCTCAACAAGGTTGGAATTAGGGTGGCATTTAAACCAACAAACTCACTTAGAGGTAAGCTTTGTCGGCTAAAAGATCCGATAGAACCAATTAAGCAAAATAATATAATCTACCAAATTCCATGTAATGACTGTGAAGTCAAATACATAGGTCAAACTAGCCGGTCGGGGTCAGTTAGATTAACAGAACATAGGAATTTAGCTAAACATAGAACGACAGACCCCAATAAGATCAATAACCTAGAAAAACACTCAGCCATTGCATTACATTCATTAACACACAATAGGATGGGACAAAACCACTGTACTTAAGTCTAATATAGCTAGGTGGAGAGAGAGATTAATTACTGAATCTTTGTTCATCGAATCCACACCCAACACATGTAATAGGAATGACGCAACACCTATACCAGAGATATGGAAAACTTTACTACCAATCAAAAAACAAAAAAACAAAGAGAGATCAGGTGACAGGACTATAAAATCAGATGTCGAAAGAAGTGTGATTACATTGATATGATTATGAGCAGTAATAATTTATGCTCGAAACGTAATCAATAATAATACTGTATCACTGTGCGCTTTATATCAAAATGATCTACTCACTGTAGTGTATAATTTATTCATAGTTTTAAATATATTATATTATATAATGAAAAGTTAAAAACAAACAAGAAATGTAAAAATCCAAATATAGTATGATATGTTATTAAGTGTTTTACAGTCATGATATTTATTTTAAGTTAGTCCCCCATTAGCCCAGTTCTCCTTAGGTGGTTATATTGAACATTATTCTAAAGAGATATTAGAATATATATCTTATATGAATTGCACAGTATAAATTGCCAAATTTTTCAATTTCTTAAACACTATAAGAAATGATGTAATCTTTATTTATCCATATAGATAAAACTAGTGTTTGGGCAAGGCAAACAAAAAAAACAACAACACACACAACAAATTGAAATGATGAGTCCAATATCACAGATATATATATATATATATATATATATATATATATATATATATATATATATATATATATAGTACAGTTTGTTGATGAAACAAACAGGAATATTTAAGTGTAATAATAATTTACTATAGAATGATTATTCATATTACATCATCATTAAAAGGATTATTAGTTGATTAGTTATGTATGTATATAGATGAGTATTAAAGTCAATAATTATCAGTTATATTTGTTGTTCAATATGACAATCTACTCTAATTTCTTGATCAATTTTTATAGCATCAATACGATTCATTGTACATTCAAAACGTCCAACTGGTCTATAATGAAATTCTTTACAAGCTTTTAAAAAATTATTATACTCTAATGATTTAAAACGCCAAGGTATAGAGAATGGTGTTAAATGATTGATATACTAGATAAAAAAATTAAAAAAAAAGGGAAAAATTATCAAATAGGTAAAATATTTTTCATTGATAGATTATTAGTGATCAGATTGTGTACTCGATAATGAACTCTACATTGAAATGAGAATAATTGCGATGAAAATTTAGATTTTCAACACAGTCAGTGCTTCCATGTGATAGTTCAAAGACTTGGCAAGTTACAAAAAGCATTTCCAATAAACTACAGACATACATCAACACCTACCGCCTCAATACTGAATATCAAATGACCAGAAAGAATAAGCAAGGAGTAACTCTGACTTGGTAACGAACCAACCAACAACCTATCATCCAACAAATATGCAGAAGAAAATAGAGATGAAGTGAATTGGACATACACTGATAAGATCATTTAGGGACATAACACGTCAGGCAGTCGAGTGGAACCTAAAGGGGAAACGACAAGTTGGGCATCCCAGCTGAGGGTGACATGGAGGAGATGGTCTGAGAAAGAAATGAAAGCTTGTGGGCAGTCATGGAGCCAGGTTGAAAAGACTACAGAGAAGAGAGTGAAATGGCGACGTGCTACACTGAAGCTCTATGTTCCACTAGGAACCCAAAGGATAAATAATAACAATTGAGATGAAAACCCTTAACCATCGGTGGCCATAGCCGTTTGTATCACACCCGAAGAGTTAAACTAGTATGAACACTTATTTCTTGAAGTCCTATCATATGACGAACGTCTGTTGGACAGTGATCTGATAACTATGACTTTACTGCTGGCTGAACGGGGTATGTCAGTAGTCAGATGTTTCTCATGAATGATGAGAGAGAGAACTTCGACCGGCAAAATAACACACTAACCTATGGTTCGCGATATTTCAGTGCCAGTTGTATATATTTTTCTTGTTCGACGTCGGCACAACTAACTCTAATTATTATAAAGGCTGTGTGAGGTCAAATAAAACTAAATCCAATTTCTCTTTCAGTTACTTTACAGAAATAACTCACACGCTTCCAGCAGTATAAAAAAAAACTCTTGTGGTTATAGATCAAGTGTCAGCATCATTGAATTAGAACTTATAAGAAAACGGAAATAATACACTGAATCTCGATATAATAGCGGTAGTGACTAGTCATCCAATCCCCTTCACTTCATGGCTTCTTATTCAAACTTCAGGGTATCCATTTCGATTTTCGCAAAATTTCCCTTAATAGACATATTTCAAACTGGCTATCTGACAACAGAATGTAATGAACCCAATTTGTGCTAATAAACATTTTTCAGTAATCATGGGGAAAACTAAATTTTATGAAATTCGAACCTACGTCAATCAGTTACACATACTTCTACTAAGCTAATAAAGTTAGATAATTCTATGTATGACTGAATTACTTATGAATTAGTCGCCAAATAGTAATCAGTATAGTTCTTAAGTCTAACAAATCAGGCAATAAATACCAATTCATAGCAAAGTTAATGATGTACAATATATAAGTAACAACAACAACAAACTCCAGTCACCATCAATGGGAGAAACTTAAAGGAAGTAACCTCCTTCATCTATCTAGGAAGCACTGTTTCAACTACAGACAGCACGGCACACACGAGGATGTCAAAGTCAGAATCAGAAAAGCAAGACAGGCGTTTATTTACCTGAAACCAATGTGGAGATCTTCTCCACTCAACATGTGGAAGAAAATCCGGATTTTCAACGCCAACTCAGTCAAGTCAGTGCTTCTGTATGGTTCAGAGACTTGGCAGGGATTTCCAACAAACTACAGACATTCATCAACAGCTGCTTACGCTGGCTCGTTACTGAAGATCAGATGGCCAGAATAATGAGAATAAGCAACAAGGAGCTCTGGGAACGAACCAACCAACAATCTATCACGCCACAAATATGCACTGGAAGCAAGTGGAGATGGACTGGGTATACACTGAGAAAGCCGACTGGGGACATCACGTGTCAGGCCAGTCACTCGAGTGGAATCCCCATGGGAAGCGATGAGTTGGACGTCCGAGGGTGACATGGAGGAGGTCGTGTGAGGAGGAAATGAGAACTTCTGGGCTGTCGTGGAACCAGGTTCAAAAGATCACAGAGAACAGAGGTCACTGGAGACGTGCTATTGAAGCCCTATGTTCCACTAGGAACCCAAGGGACTAATAATAATATAAGTAACTGAACAAATTCCTTATTCTGAGACTAACATTTACATTACTTAAAACTTTTAACCTGTTACTGTAATATTGAACATATCAATGATTATCGTTATATTATCTACTGAATTGCAGGTTTAAACGTAACATTCATATAATAAGCAGCCTAGTTATTATTTCTCGTTTAGCTGGTTTCATAACTAATTCATACTGCAATGAATAGAAATCTCCAAGGAATTGATCAGGAACTACTATTGAAGTTCGTTAAAGGTTATGAGTTGAAAAATACTTCCAAATAATCATTCATTATCTTGAAACTATGGAACTTTCGAACAATTCATCACGCACTAAATTCTATTATTTCTTTTTTCAAGGTACTAGATAATAAATAAGCATATTAATTGAAGATGAGTGTGCAGATCTACTGCACTCCACTTAGTATAAAGCGTGAACAAGATTCGGGTTTTTGACACTAATGTCAATCAAGTCAATGGTTCTATATGGTTGAGAGACTTGGTGCCTTACGAAAAGCATTTCTAACAAACTACAGACATATATCAACAGCTGCCACATACACTCGCTCACTCGATACTGAAGATCAGATAACATGGTCAGAAAGAATAAGCAAGGAGGAACTGTGGCCTTGCAACGAACCAATCGCCTATCGATAAATGAACAAGTTCTTAGTTAATCAACCAATTGGCAATAAGGTTTACGTTTTATTTATATCTATCTAGAGCGAAAACGAGACAGAAAATAACTTTTTGAAGTCCAGATGATTATGATTTTTAACATAAGCTTTTATGTCGCACAGACACATGCACAAAATTGTTCTGCTATACTTTACTTCAAATATTCTAAGAAAATTGTTTGAATATACTTCTGTGGGAGTGGACTACGTATAACACTTACCAACTAGATGCACTTCTATACCACCAAAACATCTATGTTTCCTCAAATCTCCATTTTTCTATACCACAGACAAGCTTATTGATAATAAGATGTCCCACTTATGTTGGATTTTTGTAGCTGTTGACTACTTCATGGATTATTATGTAATCGCCTTGTATCTTATTGACATTCTGACCATTACGTTTTAATGTGTGAAATACACCCATCAGGATATGAAAGAAGAACAGGTAGGTAGGTATTTCAGTGAAAAATCTCTTTTCTCGACGATTTCATTTTCAAAGCTGTACACAATCATAAACCTATACATTTTTCTAGTGTGAAAATTTAATAGTTAAAAATGTCTTGTCAATCATGGCAACATATCAATAAACAAGCTGTTATTAAAATAAAAATAGAAAACTTTATTAGTAATGAATATTAATCAAAATAAGTTTGGACAAGAACTTTTGTAACATGACAACGACATAATTAGAAAGTGAATTGTGATTAGATAGAGCATATGAAGAAGAAAGAGGAGATTGAAAACTAAGACCATAAAAGGAAAAGGGGTTGAACAATCTTTCTTCATATAGACGGTAAGAGCTTCGGTGATGCAGAGAATACAAAGATATACAGATTTTGGAAGGTTCCTTTTCACGGTATAGATGACTTTGAATGAGGAGATTCTTGAGTTAGGGTGATTCGTGATCATGATATGTTCAGTCATGGCACTCACTCCTTATCGCTCCATTGTTACCTCTTTGTAACCGCAAGGATAGTGCTCTTGAATCCTTTTGGATAACAGTCCCATCCAATGACCTATATATCTGGCTCAACAAGAGCAGGTGAATTGATATATACACATAGAAGTGGTCCGATACGAAAGTTCCTCCTTTTCACTTGTTGGAAATTGCTGAATGACAAGAGAATACTAGTCTCAGAGTTGATACAAATAATGTTCTCCTTAGAGTGTTTGATATCCCCCATTTTAGACTGTCAGCCTTTGATGTTTAGATTCATATAGAGTATCTTTTTTAGCACAGTGATAAGGTTCTCTTTACAAGGTTTAGTCTTGATGTTTTTGTTATCATAGTTGACAAACCATTTTTAATTTATCGAATCTTTAGACTAGAAAAAGGTATAAATTAGTAATTGTGTACAACTTTGAAAATGAAATCGCTGAGAAAGGAGACTCTTCGCTGAAATACTTGTTCTTCTTTCGTAACTGAAATAGTTAACAGTAAAGCCAGGTTCTATATTGGTACTATCTATATGTATAATCTAACTAAATGAATGACTGACTGACAAAATTAACGCAGAACCTCATATGCAAGTGCATCGTCTCAAGTCGCCACACTTCACAGTAGTACACAAAGAACAGGTAGATCGAAAAGGAGTCATGTCAAAGTAGATAAATTTGTGTGAGAGAATAAACAATCTTCAGATGAAGGTTAGTGTGAATATTCAAGCTTTAGAAGATGTCAAGTATTGAATACATCTGCATTACCGTAACCGATTTTCAGCCATATTCATTAAGTGTCCTCAACCACTGATTCGTTTCTGCTTGGGGACCTTATCCAGGCAGTAGTCAACATCTCTACGCAGTTGAGAGGAGGAGTCAGAGACTTCTCTAATCGGCACCCTGTCTTGGTTTGGCTACCGTGAACTCTTTTTCTATTCTAATCATACATTCCCCAGTATGATACAAATAATGTTCTCCTTAGAGTGTTTGATATCCCCCTTTTTAGACTGTCAGCCTTTGATGTTTAGATTCATATAGAGTATCTTTTTTAGCACAGTGATAAGGTTCTCTTTACAAGGTTTAGTCTTGATGTTTTTATTGCCATAGTTGACAAACCATTTTTAATTTATCGAATCTTTAGACTAGAAAAATGTATAAATTTGTAATTGTGTACAACTTTGAAAATGAAATCGCTGAGAAAGGAGACTCTTCGCTGAAATTACTTTTTAACTCCTTGAGCTATTGATGAAAATACACTTTCATTGAAAATATAAATACGAATATACACCTTTTGAGAATGATTTATCGAAAAGAATATTAAAAAAAATGCAGTAAAACTGATTAAAACTTACAGCTTTAGTGAGTTTATTATCTATAAGATCACCGTTCAATGATTCTATACGTTTTTCCTCAGTATTATCAAACAATATATCAACAGTTCCTGTAACCTGTTGGCTTCCACCTTCCTTTGTAGGTGGTGAACTACCTGATTTTGATAAATAACGTTGATGATCCGATGAAGAATTATGTAGTATTAAAGATTTATATGAATGAAATTTTGAAGCAACAATATAAAATCGCATATTGGATAATTCAAATGTGACAGGTTCTTTACAAGGTTTTTCAAGGCTACAGTATATTTCAGGTGAAATGATTGAATCTGGATCAGTGTCAACACAGGCGATATGTAAACTGAAGATAATGCTAAAATGTATACCAAAAAGAAATGATATTGTAATAGTTATGTATCATTTAGAAAATAGGCTATTTATTTATTTCAGGTAGAAACATTGTTAAGAAAAAAAAGTATCATATGTTCAAGAATGCAAGCGGATTTCAATTAAGCTAAAAAGTACTGTCTAGGGGGTAAATTGGCAAAAATTTATAGTCAATAGTTTTTAGACTGCCATAACATGATGGTAATTCATAATTCTCAACATGTTTTAACATCATTTGGAGAGTCACTGGAAACCTGGAAGCAATGGACATCTATTTCGTTCTACTATGGGACTCCTCAGCAGTAGGTACTCACGACCAGTCGGAAGTGAAGCGGATACCGATTGAAAACCAAGGTGCATAGTTGCGCTATATTTTGAATTGAAAGAAGTAGGGAACTGTGGATCATTGGATTCCAACCTATTAACAGAGTGGTCCTGAGTTCGATCCTCCGCAAAAAGAGCTGGGTCATGCGTTCATACTACTGAGGGGTTGTATGCTAGAAGTTCACAACATCATCAATCGACTTACCTGTCTTGCCTAGTACTCTTCGCATGACTTCTACGCTGCTCATACAGTGATTTCACCACACTCAAGTAATGCTATAAAGGCATCTATGATCAAAACCCAGTAACCCTTCGTGTCGTCTACTTGTAACGTTCATGTCTCACAGCCCTACAACAAGACAAAATAGACTACAGCGCAGTACACTTGTGCTTTGATAGATAGTTGGATATCTCGCTAGTCAGCGCCACAGGCTAAGAAAGTCAGAAAATGCTAAATAGGCCTTTTGCATCCGGGCTGAGATTTGGTCATCAACTAGCCTATTTGAGCTGATTCAACGTCCCAAGTGAAAGTGGTCGACATATTCCACCACTTCACTCCCTATCATTAAGCTACGAGTGGTTGCAGAGCAGTTCTGGAGGATCATCATATATTCGACAAATGCGAAACGCACAGCAGCGAAACATAATTTCTGATCAATGTATTCATAGGACCCTGCATTTTGTCAGTTTTTAGCGCTACAAGCCTAAATATGTCGAAAGATTTTGTCATCATCATCCTCTAAGACAATATATATGTAAAATCTGTAGTATGATACAATGGAGAGAGTGATGATTGAGCGAAGACCTAGGCTACAAATACAGGTAGACTTGGGACCAGAACTGATAGTTCAAAATTCAACTTTTATCATTATTGTGGTTTAAAGAAGACAAAAATACCAAAACCTACTACACATACCCAATCACTGCGCGTCATTTGACATGCTGTTATGCACACACACAGCAGAAGCATATACGAACCATCCTATTTATGTGTACATATTATACACACGTAGCTATGCGCGTGAGATTAAATAAGTAGAACATTTCAAAACTTGATAAACCCTAAAATAACTTATAGTTGCAATTATGAATCAATAAGCTTGACAACTTCTAAGAATTTTTTTAACCAGTTTTTTTAAGTGGCTCATCTGCTACACTCTAGATCATTATAATTTATGTTAGTGCTTGTATTATCCCGTAGTTGACGGAACCCGATTGATCGGTCCCTTGTAGATGCCTCAATATTGCCTGTCGTTTCAATTTTATATTATTGATGGATAGTGGCTAACAGTAGAATCCAGGACACGCGTTTCATCCTATTCGGGACTCGTCAGCTGGACGTACCTGCTTCCCAGTAAGTGTTATTCCCAGCAGGACTCGAACTTGGGACTGATCGCTTCAAATGCTAGAGCGTTATCCACTAGGCCACTGAGCCACAACAGATAGATTTTATGTTGTACCTGCACAAGAAGTGGCTATCGTGACTCAATGACCTAGTGGATAACAGTCTTGGGTTCAAGTCTTAGTGGGAATAACACATCGTCCACTGACAGGCATGTAAATCCTGCTGACGAGTCACAAATAGGACGAAACGCGTGTCCTGGATTTCAGTGTTAACCGCTATCCATCATTAATAAAAAGTACAGACAGTTGTAAGCAAAACAATAGGATGAAAAAAAATAAAGAGCACATATACAATTAATAGCTATTACCATCTGACGATTGATAACTGATAGACCTTCAGATATCGTGTCAGTACAACGTAACTAGCACCAGTCTTTGCATTAATCAATGACTCAGTAGGTAAATAGAGTTGATAAATTGAACTCCTACTTTTGATAATATCAGATTAGATATCGAAAGAAACCAGTCCGGAGGTAGTAATTTTTGATAAAATAATGTAGAGTGATTAGCAGAGAAAAAGAGAATGAGAAGAGAAAAAAGTTCACAGGTGAACGAGATAGTAGGTTCCAAGTGATCAGACAGATAAACAGAATAAACGTACGACCTTACAAACAAATGCATCAGCTCAAGTTGCCACACTTCATAATAGTATATAAAGAACAGCTTGATAGAAGGGGAGTGATATCAAAGTACACAAAGTTGTGTGGGAGAAAGTTAGTGCAAATATTCAAGCTTTGGAAGATGTCAAAGAGTGAATAGATTTGTTCCCCCTGTGACCGATTTCCAGTCATTTCACCAACGTTCCCCAACCAATCATTTCTTTCGTCTCGATGATCCCAGTCAGGCAGTCAAAGACTTCATCGACTAGTCTGGTCACTCTGAATCCTTTTCCAAAATAATTCAGCTTTTCCTAGCATGGTAAGTCGAAGTAAGCGGTGGATCAGTATGCACACTACATTTCCAAGTCATCTCAGTCGACTAAGGTTCACAGTCTCATCAATCGACTTGCCTGTCTTGCATAGTAAACTTCTAATGACCTCAACATTGCACCAAGTTACAAAAAGTGACTTGACTGCCGATAGATTTATGCGGAGGGTTGACTATCACCAATGATCATCCTGACTGTGGTGGACTGGACAGGATCATGCAACAAACTGTGAGGAGCGGGAAGATGGGCATACCTTGGCTGGGCCGATGAAAAGAATCTAGAAGGTTTGGATTTCGCCAATCATGATTTATGTCTAATGTCTTGTCACACAAACTCGAAGATCCACAGGCGAAAACTAACAAGTTGACAGAAGAGGCAAGGCAGCGAAGACGGGAATTCATTCAGGTGAATGTAGAGAAGACAGAGGGGACGAAGATACCCAACCAATAACAGCAACAAGCACCAATTACTATCAATGCGAGTAATCTAAGCAAAGTTGTCTCTTTTACCTACCTACCTCGCAGCATCGTTTCAACTAAAGGCGGCGGAGGCGGCACAGATGAGGAAATCAAAGCTAGGATCGGAAAGACAGCAACACAGGCCTTGCTTTATTAATCAGAAATCAGTGTGGAGATCTACTGCACTTCACTCCACTTCACTCACCACAAAGCGTGAATAACATCCAGATTTTCAACACTAATTCAGTCAAGTCAGTCAATGCTTCCATGTGATGGTTGAGAGACTTGGCGCCTTATGAAAAGTATTTTCAACAAACTACACACATACATCACATCGACAGCTGCCTACGCACACTCAGTATTGAAGATTGAGTAGCCAGAAAGAACAAGCGACAAGGAACCAACCAACAACACATCGCCCAACAAATATGCAGTAGGAGAAAGTGGAGATGAACTGGATCGGATTGGACATACACTGATAAGATATTCGGGGACAATATGCGTCAGGTCAGGCCGTCGAGTGAAACCAAATAGGAAACGACGAGTTGGGCGTCTTAGCCGAGGGTGACATGGAGGAGATGGTCTGAGAAAGAAATGAAAGCTTGTGGGCAGTCATGGAGCCAGGTTGAAAAGACTGCAGAGAAGTGAGTGAAATGATGACGTGTTACTGAAGCTCTATGTTCCACTAGGAACCCAAAGGACAAATAATAATATAATAATGGCAATCTCTAATCATTCATACCATAGGACGTTACCTTTGACTGAATATCTAGAAAGAAAAAGAAGCGTTATATCGATGGTGTTATCGACCTGAAAATAAAACCATAGAGTTGAAAAATTTACAACATCCTGGTATTTTCACTGTTTCTTTGTTATTTTTAACATCATACTGAGGTAAGAATGTTATATGAGGTTAATAAGGATATTAATTTTAAAGTAGTATTCATCACTGACATCAGTTAGAGAATTATTGAAAACCTGGAAGCACTAAGCAGTTGTTTCGTCCTAGTGTTGGACACTTCAGTGGCACAGACCCATGACCTCGCTTCCTTAGGGATCGAATTCAGGCAAGTGTCAACAGTTTCCTACTTCTGTCAATTCGCAATATAGTGCTACTGTCTTCCAAATTCTTTAATGAGCAGTTCGTCATCATTACTACCTTCAAAATAGAAATAAATCCTCATTAACCTTACTCTACATTACTGAATGGCCTCCATTAGTGACATAATGCAAGAAGGATTTCCTAAAGTTCGAATGATGAGATGTGACCTATGGTGTCAACCAGTCGGAGTAAAGCAGATGTCAACTGAAGACCTTGGTGGATGACGGCGCAAATCGTGAACTTATAGGAGTAAGAAACTGTGAACCATTGAATACCAACTCAGTGGGTCTATGGTCAATGCGTTCGCCGTGAAACCTTCGGGGTCCTGAGTTTGATCTCTGGTGAGTTCGTGGATGAGTACTGCTGAAGAATCCCATACTGAAACGAAACAGATATACTGTGCTGCCAGACCGATAGCTGCTATCTTGACGTGGTGGTCGGCCTTGCATATCACAATGACCCAATGAGCTATGCTGGTGGAACACTTGTTCCTTCGAGGTCCTACCTTGCCAGAAAGGTCTGCTGTATAGTGTTTGGACAAAAAGCAGTAAATTACTATACGATGATGAGGGGGCTGACGGCCAAGTCGTACTGCTGCTAGCCGGATCGGGTGTGACAACAGTAAGGCGTTTCCTTTGGATGACCGCAGTGCCATGCTGATGCTGCCTTCTCAGTGGAAGTAAGAGGGAGGGGGTAGAAAAGGTCGGCTTCAAAAATAGCACACTCCACCATATCCCACGGTCTTCAGGGCCAACGATGTTGGCTTATTTGTCGTTTCTTTTTCGACCATCGGACCTCATAAATACTTAAGTTCCAAATAATCATAGACAGAAAGCTGCGTTTGACAGGCCTCAAGCATATGTCCGATAGGTTCTGTGGCCACACAAACCTCTTTCAGGTACCTAAAGAAGAAATAGCCTTCCATGGTGGTGCAGCCGAAAAGTGACAGCCGCCCTCACAACTCTGTCAGCACCACGGTTTCTGGAGATTCGACAGCTAGCGTTCGCGATCTTGCAGGTGCAGGCATAGCATTAAACACTAAAGCAGAAAACTCACTACCAAACTGGATCCCAGTTGATACCCGCCTTTGCGCTATCCAAATGAATGGCACAGTGAGAGCTAAAAGGAAAAGAGAGACTCACCGTTGCTCTTTTTAACCACTGCTTACGCACCCACTGACTGCAGTTCTAATGAAGCGAAGGACGAGTTCTACTGAAAACTGTCTAACCTCACGTCGAAAGCCAAATGATTAGACGTGGTGGTTGTAACAGCTGATTTCAATGCACAGATGAGTAAACTGAGGGAGAAAGGCATTTGGGTGGTACATTCGCAATCCCGGCTGAACGAAAAGATAAAGGTGATCGCCTATTACAACTATGCTCAGATAACCGACTACTTTTGGCTAGCACAAATTTTAGAAATAAAAAAAGACACCGTCTGACATGGCGTCCACAAAGCTCAACTCAGCGATTTACACAGACAGACCACATTTCTACTAGCCATCGCTGGAGAGGATAGGCGGAAGACTACCGCACTTCTAGAGTGCATGTTTCGATAGTGACCACGTGTTGGTACGAGCGCGTATATGCCTGCGTCTCAATGGACGTAAGAAAAATTTGGAAAGAAAACCACTACGAGTGCTGCTGGACAACTAAAACACCAAAGCCATATTCAGTGAGAAATTCGCTAGACAGTTATCAGAACAGAAGACTATCATTCATCAAGAAGAAGCTTGGTGCCGTCTCCTGTCTGTTGTAAAAGCAGCGCTGAAGACCGTAGACGACTCCGAAATAGTAGCTAAGAAGAGCCAGTGGATATCAGCAGCTTCCTCCGAACTAATGCATGCACGCTAATGCATCCCTGTGGGCTCTGAGTACAATGAAGAGTGAGCGCAACTAAAAAGTAGATTGAGAAAAAGTCTACGCAACGACCACGAACAGTAGTGGGCAGCGAAAGCTAAAGAAAAGATGGAAAAGGCGGGATGATTGGTAACAGTAGACAGTTATTTAGACTAATAACGAAACTAGGGGGAAAGGTCACCTACAGTTAGTGAGGCTATAGCAGAGAAGGACGGATCTGCGATTCACTCGCAGGAGAGACGACTGGAACGATGGGCAGAACATTTCGAGGAACAGTCTAACTGGCCTCCAGCCACCACTACGTTGCCCGCTATCCTGTCGGATCCTGAAGGGAACACACTGAGATAGGCCTCCGAACACTCGCAGAAGTTGAGAAAGCAGTAGGTAACTTGAAAGGCGGAAGGACAGTAGGACCAGTTGGACTAAATCCTGAGGTATACAAAGATGGGGTAAGGTGCTGTTAGTCATGTTATTGGAAGTGTTAACCAGTATATGGGAATCAAGTAGGATCCCCTCTGATTGCTCTGAATCACTGGATATTCCAGTCTTCAAGAAAGGCGAGAAGTCCTCTTGTGATAACCACAGAGATATCAGCCTGAAGAACATAGTATCCAAGATCCTAAATTCTATAATCATGAGAGGCGTGAGTGGGGCTGGGGAACAGCAAGTTCGAGAAAACCATGTAGGCAGGCAGGCTTTAGACCCGACCACCGGTATATCGACCAAATATTCACACTGTGTCAGGTTCTGGAACACAGGCACGCTTACCGACATCCGACATTAGCTGTATTTCTCGACTTGAAGGCGATGGCATTCGACTCCCTTCATCGAGAAGTCTTACCGAAATGTCTCTCAGTGAAGGCGTGTCGTGTAGGTACATCACCTTTTTGAAGAATCTCTACTCGAACACTTGTGGGCGTGTTAGAGCCTATGGTGAGTTGTCCAGGGAGCTATGTTCATAGAGTGGTATCTGTCAAGGCTGCCCACTCTCTCCATTCTTATTCAATTTTGTCACAGATATTCTTATGGAGGTCTCCCTCTCATCACCTGACTACACGGAGGCTGATGTAATCGCGGGAGAATTTTCGTTAGACCTAGAGTATGCAGATGACATATTCGTGTTGGATGAAGACGCTGACAGGATGCAGAGTTTTTTGAACAGTGAGTGGGAATTTGAGAATGTTTGTGTGTTGAGCACTTCACCTACCTGACAGGTGGGATCAGCCTTGTTGCGTTGGTCAGTGACCGATGAAATCTCTGCACGAATACAAAAGGCTTGGCTGAGTTTTGCCAACTTATGCCACCTGTGGAGCTGCTGTGATATCTGACTGTCCAGTAAGGGTCGCGTGTACTACACATTAGTCCGGTCTGTTCTATTGTATCACTGTGAAACATGCCCATTGAAAGTGGAAGACATAAGAAGGCTTCAAGTGTTTGACCATCATTGTCTTCGTAGTATAAGCTGCAGTCCGTGGTGTCACCATGTGAGTAATGCAGAAATCAGAAGTAGAGTTCTAGCGAGAAAAGATAAATCACTTGACGAGGTTATGAACCTTCATCGACTGAGATGGCTGGTTGGGACACGTACCACGTATGCCTAGTCACCGATTGCCTCATCACACAATATTGGCCGAAGTAGGTCCAGGTTGGAAAAAAGCCCGAGGTGACCAGACTAAAACATGGCACTAATGTATGAAGTCTCTGACTGTTGGTTAAAACCATGTGGGGCTATGAAGACTAGGTGGTTGGGGTCCGCAGGACAAGAGGAACTAGTGGTTGGAGACTCTAGGCGATATGGCTCAAAAGCGATGTCAGTGGTGCAGATCTATACACACATTATCTTCATCTTAACCTTATGCCGATTCTCACCATTTTGTCATTCTTCCTTTCTTTCTTCTCGTACTTTATATTCCTTTCGACTGAATTTTCTTATCTTCATTTTGCACCTCACTGCCTCTTCACTTGATGTACTGATGTGAAGTGTGGCAACTCAGACCGTTACGCAGTAACGCCTGGTCCTATGCTGATATTGATAGTGGTGATGACGACTGTGCTGCCAGATTTCTAATGTTTCTCCAACTAAGATCAATCCATGATGAATACTATTGCAAAAATAACTGTCGAATACGTGAGCTTCAAGATTCTAATACAAGTATGTATTCAAATGATGAAACAGCTGACAGATCACCTTTTAAATCATGTAATATATCTAGAAATTTAAAAAGATAATAATGTTGTCGACTGGATCATGCAGCAAACAGTGGGGAGCTGTGAGAAGAGGGGGATACGCTGGCTGGACTGCGGAAAAGAACCTAGAAGATCTGGATTTCGCCGATGACTTGTGCCTGAAGTCACACAAACTTGAAGATCTACAGGCGAAAACTAACAAGTTGACAGAAGAGCTGAAGCAACGAAGACGGGACTTCAAGTGAACATAGAGAAGACAGAGGTGATGAAGATACCCAACCAACAACTCCAACAACAACAAACTCCAATCACCATCAACGGGAGAAACTTAAAGGAAGTAGCCTCCTTCACCTATCTAGGCAGAACTGTTTCAACTACAGGCGGCGGCACAGACGAGGATGTCAAAGTCAGAATCGGAAAAGGAAGACAGGCGTTCATTAGCCTGAAACCAGTGTGGAGATCTTCTGCACTCAGCATAAAGGGTGAACAACATCCGGATTTTCAACACCAACTCAGTCAAGTCAGTGCTTCTGTATGGCTCAGAGACTTGGCATGTTACGATAGGGATTTCCAACAAACTACAGACATTCATCAACAACTGCTTACGCTGGCTCGCTACTGAAGATCAGATGGCCAGAATAATGATAATAAGCAACAAGGAGCTCTGGCAACGAACCAACCAACAACCTATCATGCAACAAATATGCAGGAGGAAGTGGAGATGGATTGGGCATGCACTGAGAAGGCCGACTGGGGACATCACGTGTCAGGCCAGTTGCTCGAGTGGAATCCCCATGGAAAGCGACGAGTTGGACGTCCGAGGGTGACATGGAGGAGATCGTGTGAGGAAGAAATGAGAGCTTCTGGGCTCTCGTAGATCCAGGTTCAAAAGATTTCAGAGAAAAAAGTTCACTGGAGACGTGCTACTGAAGCGGTATGTTCCATTAGGAATCCAAGGGACTAATAATAATAATAATAATAATAATAATAATAATAATAATGTTGCCTTTTATTCACTTACTATGTTGTAGGTAAAGGGAATATATTCAATTTGAATGCAAGTGGTTTGATAATATTCAACAGAAGAACACAATAATGTCCACTGGGCATTGAAAGTGCAAACTGAAATGAAAAGTTTAAAAAAAATATAAACAAATAAGAAAAAGGATATATACTTTTATTTTTTATGCTCTCTGAATATTAAATTTTACTTAAATTAGTGTAAAAGATAATATAATAACAGGGAATAACTATAAGAAACTTTTAGCAAGAAAATATTAACCAATAGGGGTATTTTATAAGCGCTATCATCAATAATTTAAATAAAAGTAAAGTTCCAGTTTTAGCCTTACAATACACCATTACATATACATATGACTGAATGTAATAAACTATTAACTCTTAAGAACAAGATGATATTCACCGAAGAGACTCTTTTCAACGAATTTATTTTCAAGCTGTACAATCGTATATATATGGTATTTGGAAAAAATTATATCCTGTGAGGAAAACTAAACACTATATGGTGATGACAATAATAATAGAGCGGGTGATGACATAGGCATTTATGATTATAATAACAATTGAAGTGCGAATGATAACAAATAGATTATGTAATATATGGAATGGTACATAGAGAGTATATAACTCAGAAGGGGTTGAAAAAGGTAAATCAATTAAGTATTATGTAATGGCATTAGACAAATTGGACAAGATGAAGTCAATGTTTTCTAAAAGGATTAAGACAATTAAGTGAAACAATACCGGAAACTAGTTGAAGTGAAGGCGATTATAATAACAATAATAGTGATAAAGGAAGGATACAAAGGTTAAATTAACAAAGTGGGAGGGGGAGCTAATGGGGTGGGAAAATGTTATGGCCATGATAAAGACAGTGACTGCACATACTTCTTTTGTACACACAGATCAGGTCTTAGTTCATGAATAGCTAAAGCCTCCGCTGTTTTAAGGAGTTGAAAACGAAGAGAACGTGGGAGGTTTGGGCGAATTTGATAAATAATTTCAAAGTCATCGTCTGGATTTGTTGTGTGATGGAAGTCAATCAAATGTTCTAGAATCGAACTTCTAACAGACTTTCTTTCACCTTTATAAAACCAAGCAGGAACATGTTCTCGTATACGTGTAGAAAGCATTCTCTGGCTACGGCCGATGTACCTTGCTCCACAAGAGCAGGTGAACTGGTAGATGCACATAGAGGCGGCCAAACGAGGAAGCTTGTCTTTAACGCAGGTGGAGAATAGGTTGCGGCTGGTAAAAGTCAACTGAAGTCTTGCTGCGAAGAAAGTCCTATTGATTGATCTGGTAAGACGATTCTTCAGTACATCCGATGCTAGGTCTCCTTTAAACTCTAGGCTCATAAACAATCTTTTCTTTGAGACCGAGTGGATGACTGGTTTAGTGTTTCTTTCCCGCATATTTTTATCAATAAAACGGCTAGGGTAACCGTTTTCGACAAGTATGCTTTTTAAAAAGATAGCTCTTCGTCGATACAATCGTCACTACAGATACTTCTTATTCGATAGCAAAGAGAGTGAATAAGATTTCTTTTTCTGTTGATGGGCACCCAACTATAAAAATTAGTTAGTTGTCCGTTCCACAGGATATAATTTTTTCCAAATACCATATATATACGATTGTATAGCTTGAAAATAAATTCGTTGAAAAGAGTCTCTTCGCTGAATATCTTGTTCTTAATGTTACAATGGGAATTATTAAAGTATTAACTCTTAAAAAATTTATGATATAATAACTTTTCAATAACAAAAGTATACTAAAGGATAAAGATAACTAAAAATTTTAGCTATTCAGAGGATATGTAATCCATTATAAGTTTGTTATACAACTGTCATAGAAATTGTCCAATTTCGAAGAACCTATTTACATTACCACTATTATTTTTATGCAGCTATTATGGCCGCTAACAATGAATAGATATTGACTGTTAGTTAGTTACCAATATTCAACAATTTCTTAGTTGATTTTCTCACCCGACTAATTAATGGAGAAGACACGATTGATGTGTGAGAACGTGTATTGGGGGTCAAAGACAGAAAATACAAGAAAATACATCTATATATGGACAGTTCGCTGTTTAAAATAATACTATTGAATAACTGGTCTACCGTCTGTCTGTCTAACTGTAGAATTGATAACATATAAAGTACATTTTGGTTGGTACCTCTCCAGGCTAGACCTTTCTCTCGATCCTCATATCACCTCTCTCTTCGATAGAATGTTATTTGGGGGTCAGCATGAACCGCACTGTCTTTTTCTTGCATCTATCTGAAGGACATAGAAAGAGTTTCACCTTGTTTACTGGGAGATCAGTAGCCTTTTCGATATTCTTCCGGTGAGCAGGTACATGACCAGGAAAATCAGCCATCAAGATGAAAGATCCACCTACTGATTGAGAATAGGATTTGGACGATGACCTTTGTACACATCTTTGTGTGTGTTCGCAGAAAAAAGCGTCCTTATGGCCATCAGCATTACAGTCCCGGCGTCGATGTTGTTTATGTGCACAAGATTTGACGAAATGTCAGGCACCACAATGCCAGCAAGACCACACGAGTGTCTCCTTCTATGGTCGGTTGGTATCGCGTGAATTACTGGGCCGATCAACATGTGAGATAAGGCTAGGGTGTGTGCGGCCAGAGGGTGATGCGGAAGGATGAGATATCTGGCTAACTGTATATACTTTAGAACTACCCTGGTGCCCGGATTGGGCTAAACTCGTATCATGCTGCAGGTAACCCGGTCGTTGATATTCTGGAGACATGTCATTCAGCATCTAAACTATGGCGTCGAAAGTGCGATCGTGTTGCAGTATTGGTTGAGATCGGGTGGACCAAGCTTTCGAAGTACGAGACGTACCCTCCAGGAATCATCTTGGTCAATAAAACCCACTTTGAAGTAATCTTCGTAAACCCTGAATCAAGCACCAAAAGTCTCATTGACATCAGGATCGTAGTGAAATTCATTGATGGTATTGGCGATACCGTCAACTTAAGGAGGTATTAAAACTGGTGTAGTACGGGGTGATTCAGTAACAGAAATTTAGGATTGCGCAAGTATCTCGATAATCTTCATTTATTGTTAGAGGAAATTGTCTAACTTCGAAGAACCCATATCAACTATGACATTAAAAGGTTTGAGAAATAAAGCATCTCAAGAGAAATAGTTAGTCTGCTCAAAGTTGAAGGAAATCTCTGAATGGACAGAAAAGGCTCGATCGGCTTTCACCAACTTATGCGATCTGTGACGACGCCATGATAACCGATTGTCTATTAAGGGTCGAGTGAACTGCACCACAGTTTGTGTTGTTCTACTATATGACTGTGAAACATGACCGTTGGAGTATAGAGGACATGGGAAGGCTTCAAGTATCTGACCACCCTTGCTTTCGTAACACCGTCGCGTATTACGGTGTTACCGCATCAGCAATGTAGAAATCAGGTGTAGAGTTCTTAGGAGAAGAGGTAAATCAGTTTATGATGTTGAGAACTTTCATCACCTAAGGCGGAATGGGACATGTTTTACGTCTGTCTCGTCACATATTGTTAGCTGGAGTAGGTGCAGACTGGAAAAGGGTTAGAGGTTGCTAGACTAAAAACATGACATCTGTGCATGTTATCTTTGAGTGTTTCCGTTAGTTGTATGTTGTAATGTACACTTCCTGGTTGGGGTCCTCCTGACAGCAGGAACCAAGGGGGTTGGAGACTCTAGGTGATATGGCTCTAAATCGACGTCGGTGACACAGATTTACCCATACATTATCTCCATCGTAATAATAATAGTAATAATAATAATTCACTTTATTCCAAACAATTTGTGGTCATATTCAGTATTTCCTTGTTCTTCTTTTTTGTCACATCAAGAACTTCTTTTGTCTTAATCCATTACCTACGGTAATGATGGATAGTGGACAGCAGTCAAATTCAAGATGACTATCCATCATTACGATATATAATTAACACACAGGCAGTATCCAGGTATCCGCACAGGAGCCCATATGCCAGTAGAGACCGATCAATTTGGTGCAATCAACGACGGTATAATACAAGCAGTTATACTATTAACCTACTACCCCCTAAAGTTCCGATATGAGTCGTAGTAACTCTGATCGCTATGCAATAATGCTAGGTCCTAAGTTGATATTTTCTGTCTACCTGTTACACTCGAAGATACAGTAAAAATAAAATTAGGCTTTTTGCCTCTGCTATCCAAGGTGGGTATAATTAAGTACAAGTCTAAAGCCAATTCAAACTACGTTGAAACTTTACACAAATAAATAAAAAACAAAATGATGAGTAACTCAGAATAGTGCGCGTAAATGTGAAACCTTGAAATTCAATCTAGAGGTTGCTGAGGACTTCTTCATTGTTTTCAGGTTGATATTCATCATGGACTGACATCAACTGGAGAAGCATTGGTAACCTGGGAGCACTGGACAATCATATCAGCCTAGTATAGAACTCCTCAGCAGTGCGCACCCACGACCCAGCTGGGATAGAAACCAGAATATTCCCCTTCCACGGTCAGCACGTTGTCAATGTATTGGAACTCAATGGTTCACACTTCCTACTTCTGTTAGTTCAAGATATAGCTCAACCTCCATAAAATGCCGTTGTTGAGTAAATCACTGGATTCCAACCCAGTGACTCAATGGAAACATGCTGGTTGTGGAACCTGAAGGTCCTAGGTTAGAGGAATGATGAGTACGCATTACTGAGGAGTCTCATACTAAGACGAAACAGCTTCCCAGTGTTCCTAGATTTCAAATGTTTCTGCAACTGATATCAGTCCATGGTGAATATCAACTTAGAACTTTGAATCTAGCTTCAGAAACTGGAATCATTATTCTTCACCGTTAGTTTAATAAGAGCGGTTATAACGACAAAACAACATACCTGATTAGAAATCTCTAATTTACTTCTACAATCTAAACTATTTACATGATGGAGATTCCACAAAAGTGCTGCACAATTGGGTGATTATGGATAACAAAAAAGTACTAAGCTTGACTGAGTTATAAGTTGATTGAATTCAGAAATTCTAATTGCTGTGATTGAATGTAGAGTGGTAGGCTCAGTGCTGAACTAGAAAGTCCCGCCTGCACACTGAGGGGGATGTCTTCAACTCCTCGATCTACGATAGTAGTTCGATAAAAATCCATTTAAAAAAATGCGATGGAAATTAGAATTTTCCATCAATCTTTCATGATCAATCATATTTTTAAATGGGTCATATATCAACAAACAGAAGGAAAGACAAAAACAACGTAGAACCTCATACAGAAGCGCATTGCTTCAAGCTACCACAATTCATATTAGCATGCAAAGAACAAGTGAATAGAAAAATGATTGTACTAAAGTAGGTAAAGGTGTATTGAAGGATTTTGACAGCATTAACTACTGTCATGTCTTGGTTTGGTCACCATGAACCTTCTTTCAGACAATTTTATATCAGTTAACATCTGATGTTAAGGTTGGAGGTGAGTCAGCCTGAGTAACACATGTCCAAGTCACTTCAGTTACCAAAAGTTAACAACCTCATCGACCACCTTCCCTTTCTTACCTAATACCCTTCGCTTAACCTCTGTATTACTAACACGGTTGTTTGATCATACGAGATCAGCGCTACAAAGACACCTATGTTGACATTTCGTCACCAACTAGCCCGTTTAGGTTTAGGCAGCTTCCCAAGTAAGTGAAGTGGTCAATGCATTCCACCACCTCACTCTCCATCACTTAACTGGGAGTACTAGCAGGTTAGTCCTTATAATTGACAGCTACCACACACATACTAAACAGACTCGAATTTCTGCTGATGCCTTCAGAAAACTTCGCAATTAACCGGCATGTTTCATCTGTAAACTTCAAGTTAACCAAGTGTCTTACATGAAGTGAACCAATCGCTGTAAACTTGGAGGTACCTACTATTATTTCCGTCGGCACATTTATAACAGAGTTAAATAGCAACGGTGGCACCAGAGATCTCTGGCGGACCCCGATGGTTATCACCATTCCAGACGACAACCATTCACAAGGCCTGTAACGATTGCATTAGTTGTGAAATTTGTTTGTGTAAGGTTCAGTCCACAGGACGTTTGTTTGAAGCGTGTTGCATGGACTTCTCAAGAGATCTGGATTGAAGTTTGATTGTACTAACGTTGAACAAGAGAAATTGATACCACAGTTATCGGAAAACCATAGAGCAGGAAGGAGTGTGCTATAATTAGGACCGACCTTTTCTAACCTTCCTTACCATAGGGAAGACAGTATCAAGAAAGACTACTAGTCATTCGTGGGAAACACCTTGCTGCTATCACACTTTGTCCAGCCAGCAGTACAACTGCACCCTTAGACTGCCACCATGAGGTAGATGTTCACATTATGACGGTAAATGCTCTATGTCAACTGAAGTTTCCGGTATGTTAAGACCTCAAGGAACAGTCATTCCATCCAATATAGCTCATAAGGTCACTGTTTTATGCAAAGTAGCAGCTATCGGTTGAGAAAAATTGAATGCGTATTGACTAAACTTACAATGTGTTTGCACTTTACTGAGAATATGAGTGTAGGATCCTGAAAAAAAACTGAATTTCATCAACATGTTCAACTAAAAAGAAAACTTCTGCGTATTCCATGTAGTTCACCGGAATATTCGGTATTAATAACTTTTATTGATGAAGAAGATCGTAAGTTTTCCAGAATAAAACAGCTGAATGCTCCTTATAACATACTAGGCAATATGACTAGTGTACAGCACATGAAAATAAACAGTGAAGTACCAATCAATCGATTACCCGTAGAAATGTTCGGCTTTATCTACACACAAATCTGGTAACAAGTACAAATACGCAAAATAACAACCGATTATCGATGCCTGTTATTTCTCGTAGCTATACTGGGTCAGAATGCTCGATATCTGTTGGCAGATGATCTTCTATGCAGAGGCCTTGATACTGCTTGGATATTCATTATATAGCAGTCTAATTGGTGGCTAGCAGTGAAATCCAGGACGTGAGTTTCAGCCTATTTAGGACTTACTAGTCAGCTGGACGTACATGCATCCGAGTGAGTGATATTGTTCCCAGTACCCATTGATACAAACGCTAAAGCGTTATCCTTTAGGTCACTACTAGAGCCTCTCATGCCCCGACGGAGTGCAGGTATATCCGACTGACGGGTCCTAAATGGGACGGAAAGCCCGTCCTGTTTTCAAAAAATGAAAAAAAGGAATCAGATCGACTGAAATTATTCAACAAGAGATTATATATAAATACACACACTTACTTGATCACTGCATGAATCAGCAGATAGATACAATGGTCTGCTTAGTTGTAAACAACACCCAGGTGGATATGTCGGCATAGGATGGTTAATTTTACATAAATTATGCTGTAACTTGAATGAATTAGAATCTCGTACAAAATCTGCTGGTCCATCTTCAAGAATAAACTGATTAAATATTGCTCGATTTATTAGAGCATTACTGTCATTGTTGGGATGAGTATTCTTTTCTTCGCTTTCAGGTTTACTTGAAATCAATGAATAGTCATTTGCATAAGATATATTACCTAAGCTGACACCATTAGTAAACGTGGAATTGTTAGCAATATCATTTTCATCGTTAGAATTGGTGATTGATGTTACTGCAGCGTTGTAATAAGGATATTCTCGTTTATTGTTTGGATACTTTGAATTCGGACGGATACGATATAAACTTGTGCTCAATTTACAATCATTTGGTAAACCTAATTTGCCTAGTCTTAATTGGACTGGAATTGGTTGACATGTACCAAATACAACTGGATATAAAATTTTTAAACCGAAAAAGTATATCAGCAAAATTCATAGTAAGAAGTACTAATATACATTCTTCAAAAGTAATTTTTATTACTTGCATATATTTTGCATATTATTTAATAACTACACACAAGGTTGATAGGAAGTAGCCTAAATGGAAACCAGCCACTCAGGTAGAAATTTGTGCTACTGTGTGGTCAGGAAAAACCCTATTGGACGATTTTGTCCCACAGTTGACCAATTAAAATAAATAACCAACTTTTAACTTAGCAGATTTATAAGTTCATGCAAAATACCTGCAAATGATGCATTTTCATCGAATAGTGTTTTCCTTGAAAACAAAGGTTGGTCTTAACCTTCTGTTTTTCATGGCTCAGTGAAGTACAAGAGTCTGAGAGAGAACAGCCATTATTTTCATCTAATCCAATTATCTCATCTCGTTAGAATCGTCCACAATATTATTATTATTCACTCAGTCACTTCAAACGCGATCTGAATTTCTCCAACCATATAGACAAATAACCTCAGTTTTAAAAAAAGGGTGGAACCGATAAAAAAAACGCCTTGATCCAAGTAATCTAGTTAGTGGACCTTGTTACTGACATTTTTTGCCTTCCAGTAGTATACTTCGTCTATTTACGTTACTTTCATAGTTAAAGAATTCTTAAAAATTGGGTGATACCTTAATTGAATCGGTGAGGAACAAAGCGGTTGTGTATAAACACACTATGTGGTACACTTAATGAATTAGGAACGCACTGATCACCAAAGAGAACTCTTTTGAACAATGAAAAGACAAAGACACTAACAGAATAAAATGATCCAATTTTATTTCATCGCCTTTCATCAGCTGTAAAAAGCCTACAACTGAAATGAAGCAGTAGTAGCAGTAATGGCATAACATACTTCAGATATCATCGCACAACAAATATGCAGAAGAAAGTGGAGATGGAATGGATATGCAATGTGAAGACCATTCGTGGACATCATTATGATAATTTGATTGCTTCTGGCTAGCAGAGGAATCCAGGAAGCGTGCTTCGTCCTATTTGGGACTCGTCAGCAACGGTGGTAAAAAACCTGAAACCTTCTCATGTCTTCCACTTTCAATGGGCATGTTTCACAGTGATACAGTAGAACAGACCGGACTGGTGTGCAGTACACGCGACCCTTAATAGACAATCGGATATCATGGCGGCGATTTCATCAGCCTCTGTGTAGTCAGGTGATGAGAGGGAGACCTCCATAAGAATATCTGTGACAAAATTGAATAAGAATGGAGAGAGTGGGCAGCCTTGACAGACACCACTCTATGAACATAGCTCCCTGGACAACTCACCATAGGCTCTAACACACCCACAAGTGTTCGAGTAGAGATTCGTCAATAAGGTGATGTACCTACACGGCACGCCTTCACTGAGAGACATTTCGGTAAGACTTCTCGATGAAGGGAGTCGAATGCCGCCTCCTTCAAGTCGAGAAATACAGCTAGTGTCGGATGTCGGTAAGCGTGCCTGTGTTCCAGAACCTGGCACAGTGTGAATATTTGGTCGATATACCGGTGGTCGGGTCTAAAGCCTGCCTGCCTACATGGATTTCTCGAACTTGCTGTTCCCCAGCCCCACTCACGCCTCTCATGATTATAGAATTTAGGATCTTGGATACTATGTTCTTCAGGCTGATATCTCTGTGGTTATCACAAGAGGACTTCTCGCCTTTCTTGAAGACTGGAATATCCAGTGATTCAGAGCAATCAGAGGGGATCCTACTTGATTCCCATATACTGGTTAACACTTCCAATAACATGACTAACAGCACCTTACCACCATCTTTGTATACCTCAGGATTTAGTCCAACTGGTCCTACTGTCCTTCCGCCTTTCAAGTTACCTACTGCTTTCTCAACTTCTGCGAGTGTTCGGAGGCCTATCTCAGTGTGTTCCCTTCAGGATCCGACAGGATAGCGGGCAACGTAGTGGTGGCTGGAGGCCAGTTAGACTGTTCCTCGAAATGTTCTGCCCATCGTTCCAGTCGTCTCTCCTGCGAGTGAATCGCAGATCCGTCCTTCTCTGCTATAGCCTCACTAACTGTAGATGACCTTTTCCCCCTAGTTTCGTTATTAGTCTAAATAACTGTCTACTGTTACCAATCATCCAGCCTTTTCCATCTCTTCTTTAGCTTTCGCTGCCCACTACTGTTCGTGGTCGTTGCGTAGACTTTTTCTCAATCTACTTTTTAGTTGCGCTCACTCTTCATTGTACTCAGAGCCCACAGGGATGCATTCGCGTGCATGCATTAGTTCGGAGGAAGCTGCTGATATCCACTGGCTCTTCTTAGCTACTATTTCGGAGTCGTCTACGGTCTTCAGCTCTGCTTTTACAGTAGACGGGAGACGGCACCGAGCTTCTTCTTGATGAATGATAGTCATCTGTTCTGATAACTGTCTAGCGAATTTCTCACTGAATATGGCTTTGGTGTTTTAGTTGTCCAGCAGCACTCGTAGTGGTTTTCTTTCCAAATTTTTCTTACGTCCATTGAGACGCAGGCATATACGCGCTCGTACCAACACGTGGTCACTATCGAAACATGCACTCTAGAAGTGCGGTAGTCTTCCGCCTATCCTCTCCAGCGATGGCTAGTAGAAATGTGGTCTGTCTGTGTAAATCGCTGAGTTGAGCTTTGTGGACGCCATGTCAGACGGTGTCTTTCTTTATTTCTAAAATTTGCGCTAGCTAGAAATTGGCGGATATCTGCAGCAACAGAACTATCAGTGAATACAAGCCCTCCGACGATAGTCGAAGTCCTAAAAGCCTTAAGGCTGCTGAAATGTGGGAAAGCAGCAGGACCAGATGGAATACCGCCAGAACCACTGAAAACAGCAGACATGCTCACACCACTATTACAGAAGGTCTTGAAGGAAGGGAAGGTACCTGCCCATTGATTGGAGAAGGACTACCTTGTCAAACTGCAGATGAAGGGAGACCTAAGTCTTTGCGGGAACTGCAATGGGATCAAGCTCCTGTCCACCCAATGCAAGCAAAATATTAGGCCGCATCATCCAGGAGAGACTAAAGGATGCATTGGATTCAAAATTACGACCGGAACAATCTGGCTGGATTGAGGAAGTACAAATCATCTGCGGACCAAACTGCAACGCCACTCTACGCATCATCACAGAACAGAGTATAGAATAGCAGTCAACTCAACTCTACCTCAACTTCATCGACTTTGAAAAGGCCTTCGACAGTGTCGAGTGAGAAGTAATTTGGCAGTTGCTTCAACACTACGGAATACCACAAACCTTTATCAACCTCATTCAACAACTATATGAAGACGCCACATGCCAGCCAAGTAATTCACAATGGGAAGCTCAGTGATGCCTTTCAAGTGAAGACAGGAGTAAAACAAGGCTGTCTACTATCACTCATGATATTCCTGATTGTGGTCAACTGGACTGGATCAAGCAGAAACATTGAGGAGCGAGAAGAGGGGGATACGCTGGCTGGACTGGGGAAAAGATCCTAGAAGATTTGGATTTCGCCGATCATGATATATGTCTAATGTCTTGTGGCACAAACTGGAAGATCTACAGGAGAAAACTAACAAGTTGACAGAAGAGCTGAAGCAACGAAGACGGGACTTCAAGTGAATGTAGAGAAGATAGAGGTGATGAAGATACCCAACCACCACCAACAACAACAAACTCCAATCACCATCAATGGGAGAAACTTGGAGGAAGTAGCCTCCTTCACCTATCTAGGCAGAACTGTTTCAACTACAGGCGGCCCAGGCACAGACGAGGACATCAAAGTCAGGATCGGAAAAGCAAGACAGGCGTTCATTAACCTGAAACCAGTGTGGAGATCTTCTGCACTCAGCATAAAGCGTGAACAACATCTGGATTTTCAACACCAATTCAGTCAAGTCAGTGCTTCTGTATGGTTCAGAGACTTGGTGCGTTACGAAAGGGATTTCCAACAAACTACCAACATTCATCAACAACTGCCTACGCTGGCTCGTTACTGAAAATTAGATGGCCAGAATAATAAGAATAAGCAACAAGTAACTCTGGTTGGCCGAGCAACGAACCAACGGAGCAAGAACCTATCGCTGAACCAACAACCACGTCCGAACATTTGGCTTTCGAGGGGAGGCTAAATAGTTTTCGGTAGAACTCGTCGCATGTTTGTGTTAAAAGCTATATATTCGTTAATTCCTTTATCTTAGAAGTAGTATTCATCATGGACTGACATCAGTTGGGGAACCATTGAAAATCTGGTTAGTGACCCCTAAATGAACGCTTGGCATGTTTATTTGTAAAATTTGTATTCCTCATTTGCTGTCTTGCGTATACCTGTGGTTTTCCCTGATATTTTATGACTCAGTGGATAGTCGTTAGAGTATTTAATTCAAGTATCCTGTTGTATTTAGTAGCCTTAGTATATCAGCATCTTATCAGACTCAGTTATTTGAGTAGCACACAAAACACCCTAGACAGACATAAGGCAGCAATGAAACCATTAACAAGAGTTTCACCAAGTCAAAGATATAGCAAAAACTATATCATCTGTTGTAATGATACTTGTAATTTTGTATTGCTATACAGGGTCGAATTGCTCTACCTCTGTCAAAAGATGGGCTCCTATGCGGATACCTTGATACTGCCGTATATTTGTGATGTTATATTGATTTTAGTGACTAGCAGAGGAATCTAGAACGCGCATTTCATCCCAATGAGTGACATAGTTCCCACTGAGACTTCAACCCAGTACTCTTCGCTTCAAACTCCAGAAAGTTATCCACTATTGTCCTATAAACACTATTTTGTGAATTATCTAAAGATTGTAAATTTAATATGAGCAATAGTATTTGAAAGTGTATAGTTTATAGTCAAAATGTCATTGCTAACCAGGTTGATCCTGAGTATATCTTATAGTTAATTTTATTTCTAAATCATTACCTGGATAAAGTTTATCCAAATTGTTCGATGATACAACAATTTCAGGTTTCGGTAACAATGTTTGCATCAGTTCAACATTACGCCAATTTGGTCCAAAATGATCACTATCGATATCAGAGACAAAATGAACTTCTGTAGCATTAACTGACAATGCTGTTGATTGTTTTATGGTTGACTTATCTGAGTATTGATCAGCTGTCACAAAATCATCATCATTATCATTATCATCATAACAAATAATAAATAGTCTTTCAGGAATTAAGAATCCTGGCACCTAAATATCAAGAATTAAGATTTCATATGAAATTAGGTGGAACAGATAAGTTAAATTAACAAAGTAGTTTTAAATCCCAAATATGACATCACTAAATAAAAACAATTGCGTAATAAAAATGTATTGAACTGTCACCTTCAAATACTCTTTTTACTGATTAGCATATGTACAAGCATTGTAGGATGAGTGGCAATGAACGTAGAACTAAATAATAAACTATATGACCATAGGCTATTTAAGAGTGAAAAATCTAACTGATATAGTCAGATTGAGAACAGACAAATCTCCTACTGGTGTCGCATCTATTCAGCGGCTATTTGTGTACCGTCCAGTAGACAATAGGCAATGAGCCATACCAATTGTTTGACGGCTAACAATACTATTAGCTGACCACCCGAACCTCGGTAGGTGGAGGTGTGTTCAAACCTACATCACGCTAGTTGAAAGTCAACTCTCTAAATTAATTAGGCACAACTCCACTGGAGACGAAAATCCCAAATTAAATATCACTGATGACAATACAAACTTATATTTCATAATTCAATTTTGAGGTTTGCGAGGATCTATTGATTGATTAGTTTCAGAGCGATATACATCATAGACTGGTGCCAGTTAGAGAAACATCGGAAACCTGGGCGGGTTGAACAGCTGTCTCATTAGCAGTGGGCATCTATGACCCTGACAGAGATTTAACTCAGGACCTTCAGGTTCCACTGCCCGCAAGTTACTTTCGAGTCAGTGGATCAGCACGCAATAATCCCCATTTCCTACTTTTGTCTGCCTCACAAGTAAATACAATATCTGAGGTAGTCGTGCTTTGGCAGGCTGATAATTCATACGTGATGATGAATGAAGGTGAAACGAAAATCTGGACCACGGTCGGATTTGAACTAGCGACCACGGCGTTTCCGGCCTGATACTCTACCAACTGAGCTACGAGGTCCGACCACTGACCAGATTTGCATTTCACTTCAAACATCATGCTTTTGCCCGAACACCATGAGAATTCGTGACGCGTTACTACCGCTTGGTCGGATTCACACTGGCTGCTGCCTAGTCAGGACTTCCCACTCCAATCCAAATCTATCTGAATTAGAGAGGGAGAGCGTCACATTGATTATCATTTGACTATCTGAGATAGCCGTCGTTTGGCAGACTAGTATTTATATATATCGAATAAAATTGTATCCTCCACGTATCAGATTTCCGCTTTGAAATATTCGTCTAATCCTGCTATATATTGGCAAAGTTAGTTCTGCGTATTTATTCACCCATTTCGTCATCATCACCCAGCATAAATAAAAGTCTGCCAAACTACAGCTATCTCAGATAATCAAATGATAATCAATATGATGCTCTCTCTCCCTAATTCAGATAGATTTGGATTGGAGTAGGAAGTCCAGACTAGGCAGCAGCCAGTGTGAATACGATCAAGAGGTAGCAACGCGTCACGAATTCACATGGTATTCTGGCAAAGCCCATGGTGATAGAGGCGAAATACAAATCTGGTCAGCAGTCGGACCTCGTAGCTCATTTGGTACAGTATCCGGGCGGAAACCCGGCGGTTACTGGTTCGAACCCAGCCACGATACAGTTTTTCATCTCACCTTTAATCATCACCCAGTATAATCAAAATCTTATCACAGATAAGTTCAAAATAACGTTCTGATATTTCGAATGAAATTCTGGCAACGGATCACACTAATAGTTGACATTTTAATTAAGTTATTCATAACCGCACTTGACTTATCCACTTTATGAATACTTCGAAAACAATTTTTACTTCTCCATGTAACTCATTGCCTACAACAAAAAGAAACAGTTTGGGAAGAAAATGATAAACATTCACAGAATACTGAGGGAATATAATCAGCACAGAAAGGCAGACAGATAAAATCAACGTAGAACCATGTAAACAAGTGCATCATCTTAAGTTGCCCCACTTCACAGTGATGTACAAAGAACAAGTGGATAGAAATATACTGATATAAAAGTAGATAAGGTGTAAAGGAGTAGAGGGAATTTAAAAATAAAGGTTAGTCTGAATATTTCAACTTAAGAAGACATCAAATGAAGAACAGGTCTGTACAACTGTGACCAATTTTTACCTGTTACCAAGAGTGTGTCAGGGACCCCAGTTAAGTAGTTTTACACCTTCATACACAACTGAGACCAAAATTCAGAGGCTTCAAACACTGTTGCCATATCTTAGTCTGACCATCCTGATGAGCCAAGGATAACATACTATATCGTGTCATATTTACAGCAGAAAGGAGTGTAAACCTGAGAACTAGTCACGTTAAGGTAGTGAACTACTATCACTTTCCTATTTCACTCCACACCATCAATCTGACTCATCATAACAGTATATTTTATTCAATTCATATCTACTACTGATACATATAACTTCATCAATAACTTATGGCTGAATATATATATAGTATTCACCATTTACTTAAATCAGTCGGAGATCCCCTGAAAACCTGAGCAATAGGCATCCACGACCCCGTCTCACCAGCGGTCAAACTCAGCACATTCAGGTTTCATAGCCAACGCGTTAATCATTTACGCACTGGGTCAGAGTTCAAAATCAAATCTTCATCAATCTCAAAATGTGTGTAAAACAGGTGAATCAACATAGGAAAGAAAAAAAAAGAAGAATGTTCACTTACATTAGCTACGAAAAGTATTTTATTTCTACCAGGTTTAATCTGTACAAAAGATCCTTTACATCTTAAGAGAAATAGTGGCTTTTTCGTAGAGACAACAGTTGATTTATCATTTTCATTACCAAATATATCATGTTTACTATTAATACTGAAGGAGTAACATGATCGCTTTTTTGTTTGATGTAGTGAATATCGTCTTGTGACTTGTGGTGTACGACTAACAACTGGGTCTGTATAAGAAAGGAAAATTTTGAGTACACTTTATTCGAACATTAAAAAAAGTGACTGAATAAAAACAATAACAACAACAACAACAGCTATATTGTATGGTTGTGTAAACAGCTCAATGTAAAAAGGCGTTTAGAAACAATAACAAAATAATTGTTCACTTATTTTCATTTTGTTTGATTATCGGACTAATATTAATCAGTGAACAGAAAACTCTTCATTTTAATATAGGAGTAAAATTTGGGCACTGTGGTCGAGTAGTAATTCCATTTTAGTCTGTTTATTAGAAATGTTACACATAGTGAAGAAACAATATCCATTGACTGGATCACGTTTTCAGCACAATTTATTGTCCATAGTCATATCAGGTAACTCCACAACTTCGAGACAGAGTTTATATTGCCCTGATTCTCTCTTCTTCTCTGTGATGACAAGGGTAGTAGAATCTTCTATATATCTCGAACAGGTGCAGAATCATTTCTATTACTGCACGTACTTGATGTTGATTCGATAAACAAAGATTCGGTTATCAATCTTTCCCTTCCTCCACCCAACTTAGTTAGTTTTTAATGCTGTCGCTCTATCCCATCCTATTGTGTGATTGTGTGTAATTGCGTGCAGAGCTATATAGCCGAGCTTTTCGCTAAATTTTTTATCTTAGTAGGACGAAACAGATGTCCAGTGCTCCCAGGTTTCCACTGTTCCTCCTCTACGATGAATACTAACCTGAAAATTATTAGAATCTACTAATCTTGATTTAGATACGTTTTTGTACTCTATTATTCTAGTCGACCCTGGTTGATCGACTACTTCTAACTATGTATTCGATCTCACAATCATTCAAAGGGATTTAGTAAACCAGATTATTTTGCTTGATTGCATCAATAGGATCTCTTAACCTACAAAGCTTGTTTCTAAGCGAGTTTGTTGGTTTAAATGCCAGCCACTTGAATCTCAGCAGCCTTATTAAACATTCTTCGTAATGCTTCTGAGGTGCCGTCGTTGTTTGCTAACGCAGCCGAGGCTTTGAATTCTCTCGCAACCCTGTCAGCATTATTACCGTTAATGGTAGAATTATTATTAATAACACCTGTATTACTACTACTACTACTACTACTACTACTACTACTACTACTACTACTACTACTACTACTACCACTGCTAATATTTTTCTTCCGGTTTATGAATGTACTTCTAAATTTAGGTGGGTTATTACTAAGACACGAGGTATTTTCGATGTATCTAATTTCTTGTCGTAGATTTTCTAGTCTACTAGTAATCTTATTCGCCCAATCACTTAAACATTTAATTAAGCCTACTTTAACTGAAATGGAGTGGGAGAACTTGAAGTGTAAGTAGCTATTCGAATGGGAAGATTTCCTACAGAACTAAACTTCCGTCTTGTATTCGTTTAATCTTGTAAACTCTTTATTCTAACCAGTTATCTCAAGACACTTGCCCAGAATTCAACAAATATTTAGATATTCGTCTTTCAACCAATCATTTTTGACTCCTTTTACATAAACAACATTATTAGTCTATAAAACTCATAAATATTGAAATATAATATCATACTTGAATACTGAAGGAGTATATGTGAGCAATGTTGAGGTCACGTGAAAGGTACTAGGCAAAACATGTAAGTCGATTGACAAAGTTGTGAACCTTAGACGACTGTGACAGCTTGGACATGTACTGCGGTTGGCAAGCCACCGTCTACCTCGACGTACCATACTGAAGAATGTATGATTAGAATAAAAAAAGAGTTCACGGTAGCCACACCAAGACAGGGTGCCGATTAAAGAAGACTATGGATCCTAGTCTCAACTATGTAGAGATGTTGACTACTGCCTGAATAAGGTCCCCGAGCAGAAACGAATCAGTGGTTGAGGAAACTTAGTGAATATGGCTGAAAATTAGTCACGGTAATGCAGATGTATTCAATACTTGACATCTTCTAAAGCTTGAATATTCACACTAATCTTCATCTGAAGATTTTTATTCTCTTACACAACTTCATTTACTTTGATATGACTCCTTTTCGATCTACCTGTTCTTTGTGTACTACTGTGAAGTGTGGCAACTTAAAGTGATGCACTTGCATATGAGGTTCTGCGTTAATTTTGTCAGTCAGTCATTCATTTAGTTAGATTATACATATAGATAGTACCAATATAGAACCTGGCTTTACTCTAAACTATTTCAGTTACGAAAGAAGAACAAGTATTTCAGCGAAGAGTCTCCTTTCTCAGTGATTTCATTTTCAAAGTTGTACACAATTACAAATTTATACATTTTTCTAGTCTAAAGATTCGATAAATTAAAAATGGTTTGTCAACTATGATAACAAAAACATCAAGACTAAACCTTGTAAAGAGAACCTTATCACTGTGCTAAAAAAGACACTCTATATGAATCTAAACATCAAAGGCTGACACTCTAAAAAGGGGGATATCAAATACTCTAAGGAGAACATTATTTGTATCAACTCTGAGACTAGTATTCTCTTGTCACTCAACAATTTCCAACAAGTGAAAAGGAGAAACTTTCGTATCGGACCACTTCTATGTGTATATATCAATTCACCTGCTCTTGTTGAGCCAGGTATATAGGTCATTGGATGGGACTGTTATCCAAAAGGATTCAAGAGCACTATCCCTCGCGGTTACAAAGAGGTAACAATGGAGCGATAAGGAGTGAGTGCCATGACTGAACATATCATGATCACGAATCACCCTATCTCAAGAATCTCCTCATTCAAAGTCATCTATATCGTGAAAAGGAACCTTCCAAAATCTGTATATCTTTGTATTCTCTGCATCACCGAAGCTCTTACCGTCTATATGAAGAAAGATTGTTCAACCCTTTTCCTTTTATGGTCTTAGTTTTCAATCTCCTCTTTCTTCTTCATATGCTCTATCTAATCACAATTCACTTTCTAATTATGTCGTTGTCATGTTACAAAAGTTCTTGTCCAAACTTATTTTGATTAATACTCATTACTAATAAAGTTTTCTATTTTTATTTTAATAACAGCTTGTTTATTGATATGTTGCCATGGTTGACAAAACATTTTTAACTATCAAATTTTTACACTAGAAAAATGTATAGGTTTATGATTGTGTACAGCTTTGAAAATGAAATCGTCGAGAAAAGAGATTCTTCACTGAATACCTACCTACCTGTTCTTCTTTCATATCCTGATGGTTATATTTCACACAAATTCCAATTACCACAAGTTATTTCACAACATCAAGTGAAATATTAATAATTCAGGAAGAAAATAGTCATAAGTGACAAGAAGTCATGAAAACAGTACTAGACAGAATAAGATAATACTAGAATTCAGTATGACGATTAAGATGAGGATAATGTGTAGGCTCAGTAGCACCATTGTGATCGATTCTCCGCTATATCACCTACAGTATTCGACCAATGATTCCTGTTGTCATGCGGACCTCAATATTTGCCTACAACGCTCAGATCAGTAGTGGAAGATTGTATACATTAGAGCCGTTCGTATCCGAGAATCGATTTCATCAGCCACTAAGCCATCCGTTGAAGCTGATTCAACTTCTCAGGTGAGTGAAGTGTTCGACGCACTTAATCACTTTATTCCCTGTTGTTAAACAGAACATTACTGAAGACCAGTCGTAGAGCAACAATTTGCATTTATTTGGAAACAGACGCGTCGTAAACATCCCCAAACTGCTAACCTGTGTCCAGAAGACTCTGCATCTTGTCAGTGTCTTCACCTATCAGAAATATGTCATCTGTGTACTCTAGATCCACTAAGGATTCTCCTGTGATAAGGTCAGTTCCTGTGAAATGAGACAAGGAGAGGGAGACCTCTATAGGAACGTCTATGATTTAGTTGAGAGTGGGTGTCCTTGACAGATACCAGTCGACGTATATAACTCACTTGATATCTCATCACCAAGAGCTCCAAAACGCTCTATGGTGTTGGGACATAGCACCTTCAATAGGGTAATTTACTATTACCTGGTACAACACTCAGTAAGAGACGCTGCCATAAGAACTGTCGATCAAAAGAGTCGGATTTCGTCCTCAGGTCGAAAATGTAACTAGAGTCAGTCGTCAGTGAGCGTGCTTGTGTTTCAGAACCTGACAGAGAGGTAATATCTGGTCGATACACTCATGATCACACCAACTACCTACGTTTCTGTCTAACTTATCCTACTAACTTGTCCACTGAAATCACCCATTACATCTGAAAGTTCGGCTTTCTGTAAGGGGCTAGACAGTTTTCGGTAGAACTCATTATCACTTCTTCTGAACTGCGACAAGTCGAGCTAACAGAGACATAACGACAAGTCTTACCATTCGTTTTAGTACTCACTGTTTCATTTAGTCGAACAGTGCATAAGAAACTGTCAACTTTAATGTAGTCAAGTAGTGCACTTTCTGCTTTAGTAATTAATGCTATACCTGCACCTGCAAGACAGCGAGAACTATTAACAAAATCTTCGGGAAATTGAAGGGCAAAGTTCACAAATTCATTACGCTTGCTGGATGAGGTTACGTATATGACTGTATTTGGATCCTGTATACGTGTCTGACAAACAGCACATATCTATGGCTTGAGTTGCCAGTTGGTTAATTTGACGAAGGGTGTGGACACTCTAAGTCACAATATGACGTTTTGAGCACGGTTTCAGGAGATCAGGGATGCCTTTACGTGAACTTGAAGATGATGTAGAAATATTGACCGAAAGACGTGAATCTGCACTCCTCATGAGCGCAAACTTTAACTTTGTTGAAGATATTGATAGAAGATTATGGGGAAGTGGCATGATCAAAATTGATCAAATGGTCCTTGATAGAACCATCGATTGACCTGCGTCTTCCTCCAGGCAGTCAAATATAAAACTCCTCGGAGAAAAGACAGTGGCTTTTTGCAGTGTATCTTGCTTGGCTTTCAAAAGGAGAATTCAGGTCAACCAATTAGTTAAATGTGGTCACGTTACTTCCTTACAGAATACTCAAGTTTATGCTCAAAAAGAGTGAGGATTCGTCACCTGTGTATAGCAAAGGTGTTGATAAACCAACTCTTAAAGATCGAGCTATGTGCAGAGATTAGGTACGTCCATTCCCTTATTTTACTATGATAATAATTTTTGATTTTCTCTATTGTTTCAATATACATTTTACTTATAATGACTGGTTATGATTATGGGTCACTTCTCCACGTACGTCTACACGGGTTACTTCAAATTTCCCACTAAAATTCTTGTAATACTTCACTCCTTCCACTGATAATAATAAGCATTATTATATTTAAACCGATTAGTCATCACCGTGATCGACTGCATAATTTCCCAATACACACCGTGATCACATAGTCTCTAACTGTAGAAACGCTTCGCCCTATAGGATTCCGTTTTGATGGTTAACTCATCATTGGTTAGTAAGCCAATGATAGACTGATTGGTTTGGTTGTTTGTTTTTTTTTACTGAAAATATGATTGTAAGCTTAATGAAAACGATTCATTGAGAACAAAGTTTAGTTTAGTTTAGTTCAGTTCAGTTAATGTTTCCATGTTGACTGAAGACAAATTTCATCTGATTTAAGGTTAACCAATTTGATTTCGACTATCAATTCTGAAAAGCTTCAAGTAGTAAACTCAGGAAAACTTTTGGGATAATTTTCTACTCAATAACTGGTCAGTAACGGAGGATAACCAATTTCATGCTGTCCAGTATTAAGACGCGATCAAACTTATTATTATTATTATTATTTTTCCCTTGGGTTCCTAGTGGGAAATAGGGCTTCAGTAGCACGCCTCCATTCCACTCTGTCCTCTGCAGTCTATTGAATTTGATGCCACGACTGCCTACAAACTTTCATTTCTTCCTCACATGATCTCTCTCCTCCATGTCACCCTCAGCTCGGACGCCCAACTCGTCGTTTCCCATTTGGATTCCATTCGACGGCCTGGCGCATAATGTCCCCAATCGGCATTCTCCGTGTATGCCCAATCCAATCCATCTCCACTTTCTTCTGCATATTTGTGGGGTGATAGGTACTTGGTTGGTTCGTTGCCAGAGTTCTTTGTTGCTTATTCTTTCTGACCATCTGATCTTCAGTATCGAGCCAGCGTAGGTGGCAGCTGTTGATGAATGTCTATAGTTTGTTGGAAGTGCTTTTCGTAACGCGCCAAGTTTCTGAACCATAAAGCAGCACTGACTTGGCTGAATTGGTGTTGAAAATCTGGATCTTGTTCTTTGTGCTGAGTGCAATAGATCTCCACACTGATTTTAGATTAGTGAAAGCCCGTCTTGCTTTTCCGATCCTGGTTTTGACAATCTCGTCTGTGCCGCCTGTAGTTGAAACGATGCTGTCTAGGTAAGCGATCGAATTTAATCAACCATTTTATAATGTAGCCAACTAGGCTAGGAGACTACCCGTTGCGATGCACTGAGAGAGATGTTAAGTGGATGAAGGCAACCGATAGGAAGCGGTGGACCTAGGTCTCGTGCCTTTTAGCATTCACCAGTAAAGCGTATCTATAACACTGACAGAAAAGATGTCCCAGTCCTATAGGAGGTCAATCGCGACTTGAATAGCTCAGTGGTAACATCGCTGACTGCAGCACTGGTTGATACGAGTTCAAACCCAGGGGGAAGGTATCACTCCTTCCGTTGCCTTGCCAACGAATGCCGAAAAGCATTAAACCTAAGTCCATAGCTTCCTGCAGATCACCTCCATATAATTAACTAATTTTTTCCCCGAAGGCATTGATTTAATCATACAAATGCAGTTTATAATCAATTCAGACATAATTCTATCAAATTTTTTTAATTACCAATGAATCCATCTGAAGTAATTCGTGATGTTTTGCCCATTCTTTGTAAAAATTGTTCTGTATCCCTAATAGACACAGCAGCATTATGTTCATCATTCACCATCTCCATAATATCCTGTGATCTCCATGCTGGTTTACTTGCCAATGATGCTGCAACATTTAACAGTGAACCTAGTCGTGTATCAAATTTTGATCGAATATTTATTCCTGTATTATTCAATGGATTGCCAACAACTGATAAAGTTGTATATTTGTATTCTTTAGAACTGTCCGGTATATTAGAATAACTTCGACATGTTGAAACTGTCGTTGAAGCTGGCAATAAATACTTATTGATTTGTTCTAAATGCAGTTGACTACCAGTACCAGATGGAATAGACAGTTGACTTCTTAAGCTAACTTTATGATTATTATTGTCATTGTTGACAACAGTAACAGAACTGTTAGCATTATCAATAAGATTGTTGTTTGTAATAGAAAATGAAGGTAGGGTAGTTAAGTTAATGATGTGCAGTTGGCTTTCTGAATGTGATGTTAGAGATTGATTCGTTTTATTCATTACATGATATGGTAGAAATTCATTTGGATTTAATAATGTTTGCCAATCTACATATGATGGTTCGGAGGCAGTAATGTGTACACTGTAAAAATAGAAGAATGAAAAAAATAAATTATTTTAAATAAATAATAAGTGTTATACTGTCAATAGTATGGCTTACGCAACATGATGGGGACATCACGCGCCAGGCCAAGCCCTCTAGTGGAACCTAAATAGGAAACGACGAGTTAGGTGGCCTAGTCGAGGGTGATATGGAGGAGAGATCGTGTGAGAAGAAATGAAAGCTTCCAGGCAGTCATGGAACCAGCTTCCAAAGGACTGTAAAGAAGAGAGTGAAATGGTAACGTGCTACTGAAGCCCTATGTTCCACTAAGAACCCAAAGGACAAATAATAAAATAATAAATAAACTCATGAGATTAGGTATACACAAAGAGTTAGAATCCGATTTTCACGAAATCGAATCGAAATGCGTACAGCAACCTTGTGCATATTCGTACAGCACGCAATGAGACATGCCTGTTGTGTTTTGAGGGTTATCCATACCTCGTACATTGAGCTATGTTCAAACCCATGAGCCACGGCTCCACATTGTTATGAAATGATTGAAGTTTAAAATGAAGTCCTTTTGATTCAACGATAATAGGTTCATCATGAAGCATCAACATCATGAATTCTATGGTATACCAGTTTATGTTTTATACAGTATAAGTTTTTCCAAATGTTCTTTTATACATGTCAATACTAACTGAGTGACAAAGTTAACACAGAACCTCATATGCAAGTGCATCACTTTAAGTTGCCACACTTCACAGTAGTACACAAAGAACAGGTAGATAGAAAAGGAGTCATATCAAAGTAGATAAAGTTGTGTGAGAGAATAAACAATCTTCAGATGAAGGTTAGTGTGAATATTCAAGCTTTAGAAGATGTCAAGTATTGAATACATCTGCATTACCATGACTGATTTTCAGCCATATTCACTAAGCGTCCTCAATCACTCATTCCTCATGTCTCGGAGACCCAAACCAGGTAGTCTACATTTCTTAAGACGTCTCAGATCAACAGTCAGAGACTTCATGGACCAGTGTCACGTCTTGGTCTGGCCACACTGTTCTACAAAACATCAAATACATTACACAGCACCTTAGTTTATTTGAAGGACGAGATACCTCTACATTCACAATTTAATTATGTATACAGAATAAAATGCTCAGAATGTAATGCAATATACATGGAACAAACATCCTGTGAAATCAAACTAAAGGAAATGAACACTGAAGAGCTTCCACTCGACCCCTTAGAATTATAGTGAAACGAGAGGAACTTGAAAAAAATTTAACCATAGCTCTATATCCTATAATTTCAGGGGACAAGGTCCATGTTGACAATATGGAAATTATCAGAAAAGCAGTTTTAGAAATTATAAAAAACGTCTCATAGCATAGCAGAATCTCTTCACATCAAGTGGAATCAAAATTGTCTGGATGGGAAAGAATGAGAGAGTAAAACGTAGCTTGACCTGGTATCAACCCACTCCCACATACTGACATAACTATCACACATCCAATAAGAACTATCAACAACACATGTATGTACATATAAATCCCAATCTGTAATTCATACACCCTTCACACACAACACACTACAATTGCATATCATCTTTATTCTACAATTCTTACAAGGCAGAATCATTCATGCAGAAGAACACTTGTCAAGTTATCATACATATATATAAGCTTGGGGGATACTGTAAACTCGGGTTTACTATAACTTTGATAAAGTTATTAGCAGTATTACGTACAGCGAAACGTAAGTTGAAACAGACTTATTTTGAAATACAGATACCAAAATGATGAATGTCATTTATACTGGGTGATGATTGAAGGTGAGATTAGAATCTGGGCCGCGGTCGGATTCGAACCAGTGACCACCGGGGTTACCGGCCTGGTGCTCTACCAACTCAGTTACGAGGCCCGATTGTTGACCAGATTTTTATTTCACTTCAATCACCAAGGATTTTGGCGGGCCGGAAACCCGTTGGTCGCTGGTTCGAATCCGGCCGCATACCAGATATTCATTTCACCTTCAATCATCACCCAGTATAAATGCTAGTCACCCAAATCACGCACAGCTATCTCATATAGTCAAAATAATAATCAATATGATGCTTCCCCTACCCTCTAATTCAGTTACATTTTAATTGGGATAGAAGTCCTGACTTGATAGCAGCCAGTGTGAATACGAGCAAGAGGTAGTAACGCGTCAAGAATTCACATTGTAGTTGGGCAAAACCTTCGGTGATTGAAGTGAAATTTAAAAAAATGTGGTCATTAGTCGGACCTTGTAACTGAGTTGATAGAGCATCGGGCTGGAAACCTGGTAGTCGCTGGTTTGAATGTAGTCATGGTCCAGATTTTCATTTCGCGTTCCATCATCACGCAGTATCAATACTAGTCTGCGAAACTACGGCTATCTCAGACAATCAAATGATAATCAATATCATTTACCCAATGCCCAATTTTTTTCAAACTATCAAATCCCAACTTGGTTTAGATACCTATGAAGTATGTATATTACATTGAATACATTTTAGTAAAGTTGACTTCATAATCCCTTAGTCATATATATATATATATATATATATATATATATATATATATATATATATACCCGCCTACCAAAAAAGAGGTAATTAACTCAACAAGTTTATAAACTTACGAAGCTTTAAAATGTCTCTCTGAATTCGATTCTAGTACAGCATAAATTAACTGATAGCCACAATCACAAACACCTTCTAGTTCTACAGACTTTAAACAAAACAATGATGACATATCGTATGGATCAGTAACAATGGATTGATGAAATGCTGATAAAGATTTTCGAAATTCAATAGCTTCCATCCACCAATAATTTGGATTAACTGTATCTGTATACTTTGGTATACGTAGAATTTCATTTATATCTGATCCATGATACCAAGAACGAATCTTACTGTACACATAATCAGCGGCAGTATGTAATACTGGTTGACAGATACCTGATAAAGTGAGACACACTTGAATATATCTGTAAGATAAAAATATAAACGGTGACAATCTTTAAATAGTGTATCCATACACACCTAAATGCATTGCAATATAGTGTTATAAATAATCAATTGAGTATTCCAACAGGTAAACTATGAGCTGTGGATCAATGGCTTAGGGAGATGACTATCAACCAATGGGTTAGAGGTTTACGCTCCACTCCACATTCCGACCCAGCACCACATTTTGTTATCTGATTATGAAGTACTTCAAATACTATTTTAACAAATTACAAACTATTTTAACCTGTAGGAACGCAGGAAATCCATTTCGGTATTTGTTATTAGCCTTTCTTCGATATTCATTAATAACCATGATTAGTTTCTTCACAAGTTACTGATCTTACCCCATGGAAATTAGTCTACAGTCTGGGTAGTATTTGGATGGAGGCGATCAGAAAGAAACCTTGGACATAGGGTTTCGTGCGTTTTCCACTCGTCAGTAAAGTGTACCTGCAACCTCTACTATGGAACTAATGTCCCACCTGAAATTCGAAACCTCATCACTCAATGCTGCAATCAGCAACGTTACTGCTGAGCTATTCGGGCCGCAATTGACCTGTTATAGAATGAGATTATGTACATTGATTGGTCACTGAACCTACAACATAGTTAAATCATTCACAGGTTTACTATGCATCATTCTTCACCTGATAGCAACTTGACTCTCTTCAATTTATATGAGATCACAAATGGTGCGATAAATATCGGTAGAAATCGATTTCTCATTCACACAAAATTCAATTACACAAGGTGGCAATCCTAAGAAGAAGGAGGAATTCTATACAGAAATGCAATCAGTAATGAACAAAACCCACCCCAGTTGGCGACAACAAAATTCAAATGAGTGATATGAATGCCAAACTGCGAGCCGAAAACACAGGAAGACAACTCATCCATCATGAGTCAAGAGGCAATCGGTGAAATGAACGAGAATGGAGAACTGTTTGCAGATTTATGGGCATTCAACGACTTGGTGATTGGAAGCAGTGTATACAAACACAAGGATATTCACAAAGCGACATGGATTTCACCAGACAACAGGACACCGTACACTAAAAATCAGACTGACTTCATCTCCATCTCAAGAAAGTTGAGAGGCAGCCTACTGGACACAAGATTGCGAAGAGGAGCAGATGGAGGCCCAGACTATAGGGCTATCTAGTGCAAGGAACCTTCCAAATCAAGTTGAAAGCCTTCAAAGAAGCTGGTGATAACCATACTTCAAGTTCAATATCCAGAAAAGAAACTGAAAGACAAAGGGACATCTTTACGTTGTCAGCCACCAAGAAAAATGGGAGGACCGGAGCGGAATTATTCTCCTGTCCATCCAAAGCAAACTATTCAGCCGCATCATATTGGAGAGACTAAACAATGCCCTGGATTCAAAACTACAACCAGAACAGGCTGGCTTCAGGAAGAACAAATCATGTGCTCATCAAATTGCAACCCTACACTACACATCATCATAAATCAGAATAGCACAGAATAGAATAACAGACAACTGCATCTTCACCTCAACTTCATCGATTCTCAAAAGGCCAACGACAGCCTCCACTGAAAAGCAATTTGGAAACTGCTTCAACACTACAGTCTTAGTGCTACAAACATTTATCAACTTCATTCAACAACAGCTAAGCTATATGTTATATGAGGATGCTCAAGGCCAAGTGATTCACAATCGATAGCTCAGAGAGGCCTTCGAAGTGAAGACAGAGGACAGGAGTAGGACAAGGTTTCCACCTACTATCATCCATCATCTTCCTCATTGTGGTCGACTCCATTCCACCCAACTCCACTCAACTCACTCGGACTGGACTCGACTAATGCCACTGGATCATGCAACAAACTGTGAGAAGCGAGAAGAGGGGTATACGCTGGCTGGACCGATGAAAAGACCTCAGAAGACTTGCATTTCACCAATCATGATTTATGTCCAATGTCTTGTCTTGTCTTGTCTTGTCACACAAACTCGAAGATCTACAGGCGAAAACTAACAAGTTGACAGGAGAGGCAGGACAGGGCAGGGAAGACGAGAATTCATTCAGGTGAACGTAGAGACGACAGAGATGAGGAAGATATACAACCAACAACAATAACAAGTACCAATTACCATCCACGGCAGAAACCTATAGGACGTAGCCTCCTTTACCTACCTACCTAGGCAGCATCGCTTCAACTACAGGTGGCACATGCACAGATGAGGACGTCAAGGCCAGGATCCGAAAGACAGTAACACACGCCTTCCTTCATTAATCTGAAATAATCAGTATGGAGATCTACTCCGCTCCGCTGTGCATAAACAATAAGATTCGGATTTTCAACATTAATTCAGTCAAGTAAGGCAATGCTTGCTTCTATGTGATGGTTCAGCGACTTGGCACCTTACGAAAAGTATTTCCAACAAACTACAGACATACATCAACAGCTGCTCCCTACTCCCACTCAATACTGAAGATCAGATGACCAAAATAATAAGAAAAAGCAACAAGGAACTCTGGCTGGCTGGCAACGCACCAACCAACAACCCATCACCCAACAAATATGCAGTAGGAGAAAGTGGAGATGAATTGGATAGGATTGGACATACACTGATAAGATCATTAGGGGACATCATACGTCAGGTCACGCCAAACCATAGAGTGGAACCGAAATGGGAAACAACGAGTTGGGCGTCCTAGCCGAGGATGACATGGAGGAGATGGTGTGAGGAAGAAATGAAAGCTTCTAGGCAGCGGTGGAGGGAGGTTGAAAAGACTACAGAGAAGAGAGTGAAATGGTGACGTGCTACTGAAGCGCTATGTTCCACTAGGAACGCAAAGGACAAACAATAATAATAATAATTAATTACATTCACTGATGTCAGATAATCGAATTTCTACATTGTCTTGGAGATTTCTGAATTTTTACCTTTAATATACATCCGTTTCTCTTCTCATATTAATCTAATGACACTGACTCAATAATCATCCGATTGAGTAATATACATTACTTACAATTACAAATGGTATAAACAATTATCAGATTCACTTACTTTCGGGCGATTTCACAGTCAGTTTTAGTTTCATACTGTTTTTCAATACATAGAAAGTGTAAACACCATGCTAAGCATAAACGTGCACTAGTTATCAAACCGATCCATGAAGATTCATCGAAAAAGTTTATGATTGACTCGTATAACCATGAAGCTGATTCATAGGCTCCCTGTGAACTAAGTTGTTAGTAATCATTAAATGGACATTAAAAACGAAGAAAATGAGTTAATTTATAATTTAAAAAAAAAACATTAGTACTATACTCAAACAACTATAAGATCCGGGGTGCGCGTTTCGTCCTGTTCGATACTCATCAGCTAGCTGTGGCTACACCCCCCCCCCACCCCAATGAGCGATGGTGTTCCCACAAGTATCAACAAACAAATATGACTATAAGATTATCATGAGTGACTAGTGAACACTAAATCAAAAGAGGACAAGCTAAACATAACGTTGAAATAACACATTTAAAGGCTTTCAAATGTTTGTAGCTCATTTTCGAATGAATATACCACTAGCACACCAATGATCAATAATTTCACTTTCTTCTATACTAAGAAACTTTTGCTATAAAAAGTGTTTACAGCCTTTTTAGTTTACAATGCTATGTACTTTCGTATATACGCCTACAATTATCAAACGTGTTTGATTGCTTCTATCAATACGTGAATGTACCTTCCTAGACTTCTTTTAGAACTGAAAGCACTCAGATGTCCTGGGCATGTTTGTGCGGTAGGCAATGAGCCACACCTATTGTGTAGAGGTTAATGATGCTAACTCGTTAGGCGGAACAGAGCTCGAACCCGAGACCTATTTGGTTGAAAATTATCCTACTTAAACCAGTAAGGCACAGCTCCACAAGCTGTGTAAACTTAATCACAAATTCACCGTCAGATAATTTTAATAAGACACTTCAAGGGGTTTTATATACAACAAACCTTTGGTATATACATAAAATGTTTGCAAATTTATCTGTGAAGTAGGTAACATGATCGAATGACTGTTGAAGGTTAACAATATGAAAAGTCATTGGTGTTGGCCATACACATCCTTTAAACACTTCTTGTGGACAATAGAACTACGAAGTGCGTAGGTATGAATTCAAATCTACATCGACTGAGGCACAAATTCAACCACAGTTATTCTGACTGATGTCTGTAAGAAATAGAAAACTAGACGATCGAAATCAGTAATACAATGATGCTAGTGTAGATTACTACGCCATATTCTATAGTCATTCGTATATTAAGGGTTCACTTACGGCTTTACTTATTTGTAGTTCATAATTAATGTAGTTACTATTCATGACAAGCATTCGCCTCCTTTCAATTTCCCCTAGTAACATTAAACACATGGAAGTTCAATTGAATTTAAGGGTTTGTGAGGATTTAGAGATTTTTTAAAAAGTTGATATTCATCATGGACTGATATCAGTTGGAGGAATATTGGGAACCAGGACAGCTGTTTCGCCCTACTATGGGACTCCTTACCAGTGTGCACCTATGACCTTGCCCAACACGGATCGTACCCAGGACCTCCAGGTTCCGTTGTCAGCATGCTATCATTGAGCCACTCGGTCGGAATCCACTCGTCCATATTTCAAACTTCTATCAGTTCACCACATAGCGCGACCATCACGACTTTTAACTAGAACTTCAGGAATCACCTCTCGAAGTTAGTCACCAGTGAGCACTAGTTCAATTGAATGTGAGGGTTTATGGATTCCAACCCAATGGCTCAATGGTAACGTGCTGGCCATGTAACCTGAAAGTCACGGGTTCGATCCCTGGCAGGGTAGAGACTGCGTACTTCAGAAGAGTACTATACTACGACGAAACGGCTGTCCAATACTCCCAGGTTTCTAATGTTCCTTCAACTGGTTTCAGTACACGATGAATACCAACCTGAAAAAAAAAACATCCAAGTTTACTGCGAATTTGATCGATAGAACTCGATAAGCACTTCAAGCTAGACAACATGATATTGTTGGTTACATACCAGTGATTGGTCAGTGTGCTACAAATCTGTAGCATTTGAAAGTATGATGACTGGCACAGATATATACATTACACTCTTAAACTTCTTATTTCCTACACTTTATAGATAACAGCCTACTAAAACCTAAGAATGAGAACAACAGCTTTATTCCATATTAGATTTGTTTATTTGATATAAAGCGCACAGTGATACAGTATTATTTACTTGATTACGTTTCGAGCATAAATTATTACTGCACATAATCATATCAATGTAATCACACTTCTTTCAATATCTGATTTTATGGTCCTGTCACCTGATTTTTCTCTGCTTTTTTGATTGGTAGTAAAGTTTTCCATATCTCTGGTCTAGGTGTTGCGTCATTCCTATTACATGTGTTGGTTGTGGATTCGATGAAGAAAGATCCAGTAATTAATCTCTCTCCCTCTCTCTCTCTCTCTCTCTCTCTCTCTCTCTCTCTCTCCACTTAAGCTATATTAGACTTAAGTACAGTGCTTTATCCCACCCAGCCTACTGTGTGGTTGTGCGTTAATGCATACATAGCAAGAGCTGAGTCTTTTTCTAGATTATTGATCTTATTGGGGTCTGCCGTTCTATGTTTAGCTAAATTCCTATGTTCTGCTCATCTAACTGACTCCGACCGGCTAGTTCGACCTATGTGTTTGACCTCACAGTCATTACACGGAATTTGATAGATTATATTATTTTGCCTAATTGGTTCTATCGGATCTTTTAGCCGACAAAGTTTACCTCTAAGTGAGTTTGTTGGTTTAAATGCCACCCTAATTCCAACCTTGTTGAGAATCCTATGTATCGTTTCTGATGTTCCTTCCTTGTATGGTATCACAATAGAGGTGTTGATTTCCTCTCTACTTATGTTGTCACTATTATTTGTATTTGTATTAGTGTTATTATTTTGCTTCTTATGTGTCCGTGTGAATTTCTTAATAAAATGATGGGGATAATTATTAATTATTAACGCTTCTTTTATGTGTTTCAATTCCTTATTTAAGTCCTTACAATGACTAGTGAGTTTCTCAGCTCTGTTATTTAGACATTTGACTAAACCCACTTTAACTGACACTGGATGAGATGACTTGAAGTCTAGATATCTGTTAGAATGTGTTGGTTTTCTGTAGACGGTAGTATCTAAACCACCATCTGTCCTTCGTTTTATTCTGCAATCCAACATAGGTAATTCTCCTTGTTCATTTTCTACTTCGTAAGTGAATTGGATTGTGTTAACTACTGAGTTTATGTGTGTCAAGAAACTGTCGATATGTACTTAAGTCTAATATAGCTAGGTGGAGAGAGAGAGAGAGAGAGGGAGAGAGAGAAAGATTAATTACTGAATCTTTCTTCATCGAATCCACACCAACACATGTAATAGGAATGACGCAACACCTAGACCAGAGATATGGAAAACTTTACTACCAATCAAAAAACAAAGAGAGATCAGGTGACAGGACTATAAAATCAGATATCGAAAGAAGTGTGATTACATTGATACGATTATGTGCAGTAATAACTTATGCTCGAAACGTAATCAAGTAAATAATACCGTATCACTGTGCGCTTTATATCAAATAAACAAATCTAATATGGAATTACATTCTACCACAGTGCCCAAGTTTTTCACTTATATTAACAGCTTTAACAGATTAGCATGAGTCCATTTTATTTCACAGTCTCTCATCAGGTGTGTTTACAATCTCTAAAAGAATTTTTACCATCAATTTACATGAACGCTTGCATATTTGAATCAGTCTCATAGAAATTGTAGGCCTGTATGAAAAAGTAACTGAAAATACACGAATTGCGTGAACGAATGTGAAGAACTAATTTTGTCAATATATAAAAGGATTAGAGGAATATTCACGAATGGAAGTTGTAGAAGTGGGGAGACAGGAGTGTTTACCACAGTCAGAAAGGTTATACAAAATGTATGCAAGAAGGTCATAAGATTCATAATAACTACGAATAAGCGTGACCAGAATTCACAAAATCACGTCAAGAATGTGAAATGTAAAACAACAACAAAAAAGCAATTTGATATCAGGTTGGTATTCATCATGGACTGATATCAGTTAGAGAAAAGGTTGGAAGACTCGGAGCACTGGATAGCTGTTTCGTCTTAGTATGGGACCTCTAAGCAGTGTGCACCCACGACAACACCAAGTATCGGATCGAGGATCTTTGAGTTCTACAACTTATGCGAATTGACAGTGATATACAAAAACAAATGATGACTATTTTCAACAAAACGAAAGTCTTTATAACATGACAGGCACAATCTGATAATTGTCTTTTTTGAATACATGAGTTTAGTTTCAATGGTTTAATGGCTAAAGCCTACACGAAACGCATCCACAATTTATGCACTCTTTCTTAATAATGATACTCGGTGATGACTGAGTGCAGAATGAAAATTTGGACCAAGCCTACATTCGAACCAGCGACTACCGAGTTTCTAGTTCGATGCTCTACCAACTCACCTACAAGGTCCGACAGCTGACGAGATTTTATTTCACTTCAATTACTATGAGTTTTAGATGACTACCATGAGAGTTCGTGAAACGTGATACTTTTGAAGTAAAGATAGGGGACAGGAGTAAGACAAGGTTGTCACCTACTATCATCCATCATCTTCCTCATTTTGGTCCACTCCACTCAACTCACCATTCGACTCAAGTCGACTCATGCCACTGGATCATGCAACAAGGTGTGAGAAGCGAGAAGAGGGGTATACGCTGGCTGGACCGATGAAAAGACCTCAGAAGACTTGGATTTCACCAATCATGATTTATGTCCAATGTCTTGTCTTGTTTTGTCTTGTCACACAAACTCGAAAATCTACAGGCGAAAACTAACAAGTTGACAGGAGAGGCAGGGCAGGGCAGGGCAGGGTAGGGCATGGCAGACCAGGGAAGATGCAACTTCCTTCAGGTGAACGTAGAGACGACAGAGGTGATGAAGATACACAACCATCACCAACAACAGTAACAACAAGCACCAATCACCATCAGTGGGAGAGATCTAAAGGAAGTCGTCTCTTTCACCTACCTACCCAGGCAGGGCAGTATCCTCTCACAGACACCGATGAGGACGTTAAAGCCAGGATCCGAAAGACAGCAACACAGACCCTCCTTCATTAATCTGAAATAATCAGTGTGGAGAT